AAGTGATTTCAAAGTGGTCCACATGGATTCCCAGGGAACTATGGCAAATTTCAAGAAGTCCATGGCACCGAAAAATAAATTTGAGGGTTTTGATTAGTTTTTTGTGAAAACTTTATTTTCCATATAAGAAATTGAAAAATGGACTCTATCTAAGCAGCTAAATATTAATTCATATTGATTTTGTCGATTATATACACGTGCATAGAAGATTATGGAACTTACTAAGGTAAAATGACACTTATAACCAGTCTTAATTTGTTTTTTTTTTGTCAAAACCTTAAATTTTTCTTAATTCAAATCAACTTAATTAAACAACAAATTCATAATAAAAAAATCATAACTATCGGTTCAGACGTTTAGCAGAAGTTCATTTACTATAAGTGTGCGGTGTATATGCAGATTTCTTTAATTTGATATTTAATAGCAGTTGTTTTATTAAACCATGTAAAGCTAACTCAAACGAAACAAATGGTTTATCAACACGGGACTATGTTACATATGGCTGGTTTTAAGAAATCCACCGCATTGTATCGCTTCCGGATTCCGGACTTATATAGTAGAATTCAAGGTATTAATTTAGTATCACCCGAAACTTTTCTCTTGTTATCAATTGATCAATGGTATGAATTGATCAGTTATCAAGCGGGATGATTTGATTATAAAAATTACTATTACACGATGGGTATCTGTATATCTGCATGTATTAAATAATACTTATTTAAATGATTGTGCGCGGACTCCCTGTGCACGATACTTCTTAATTTGAAAATGAAAATAGTTGAAAATAAAAAATAAACTATATACTGCTTGTGCGCATCGGGAAATATTTGTGCAATGGGATAATGGAAGTAATAGAATTTTTAAGTAAAATTTATGCTTTATCATAAGGTCAAGAAAAAATAAATCAAAATTCAGTGAAAAAAAACACTCACTGACTGAAATCGTGGTGAAAAATTATTCGATTACTAAAATGGTTATTATGTAATACAGATTTGCAGAAGGAAGGTGAAAATTTAGAGTTGTATGCATTTTTTAATTCCGCAACATTAAAACTAAAAGAAAATTGATTTCAAAATTTAAAAAAGATATTGGTGGGCTAGGACTCTTGATAAAAATAATTTGTTTTTCGAAATAAAAAAACTTTTATGTGTTTTCCAAATTCGAATTATAGAAAATTAAAATAAAGAAAATTTATCCCAAAATTTAAAAAAAAATATAGGGGTGGACAACTCTTGATGAAAATAAGTAGTATTCTGAAGTAAAAAGAGTTGTATGTGTTTTTCCATTCCACATTAAAAAAATTAAATAAAAAAATTGACCCCAAAATTAAAAAAAGTATTAGGGTTAGACAGCCCTTAATAAAAATAAATTGTTTTTTAAAGTAAGATTTCAGCTTTTTCTTTAAGCTCAAAAATCTGAACTAAATTTATTTCAAAAATTTTCAATGACTGAACGTGGGAAAAAAATCCTACCAGAAATCTATTTCATAACAGTCATTTTAGTAGGCCAATCACTTTTATTTAGCTCGATAACTGATCAATCATAGTCTTTTTGTGAAGGTTTTTCATAATTTTCCAACTTTTTCAATATGAAATCACTCTTTTATCTATTGACTATGCCATAGACGTCAATAAATCAAGACAAAACAATTAAATAAGAAAACGCTGTTTAGTGTGTGGGAGGAGATCACTTTAATAATGATGGTAGTAAAGTACTGTTTCTCAAACTTTTATTGCTGTTTAGACCCAAAGTATAAAGGTGCAGAGACATACTCTTCTTTTATCTATGGCCGCAGCATTTATACAAAATCATTAATAAAATTAGTGGTGCAAGTGGTGCTTGATCATCAGGTACCAAGAATTAATGTTTTTAAAAAAGATTCAATTTTTTTAGTTCTTCGAAAAAAAAGAACTTTAAAATTAAAAGCAAATGTTTTTTGAAAAATTCTAATCGGACGCTCTGTTCTCTCAAAAATTCAATTACCATTTTTGGCACTTTTTGTCTCGTATCTTTGGAACGGCTGAACCTGCCTTTGCCAAAAACTAATCAGCACGTCTTCTTATCAACAGAAATCGAATTATTCAAATTAGTTGATCCGTGTTCTCGAAATCGTCGACAAAAAAATGTATCCGCACATGCATACACATACGCGCACACACACGCACATATACACACACACATATACATTTTTTTTTCTAAGGTATTTCAAAATAATCAAAAACTGATTGATTTGATTGATTAATTAATTTTTTTGCGATTACTATAACTTACTCTATAGGAAGTTAATAAACTTGAGTGTAAATAGTTTTAATTTTAGAAATTAATTGCAATATTACATACTATTAAATATAATAATTTAAAAAAAAATATGTATGAATAGACAACTCACAAAAACATCCAATAATTCTTTTCAACAATTTCAACTACAGCCTACTACCAAATTAATATAGAATTTAACTTGACAGAAAGAAATTTTAGTAACAAAGATATGCGGCCAAGTTAATATTAGCATGTAATTGAAATATGTAAATAAATTAAGATGACCGCGAATGCACATTACTATTTGTTTATGTGAAAGTCATTTTTTATAGATTTTTTTGTCGATATTCTTGTTTCACGGTGCTAATAACTTCAAAACAGAATGAGTAGAACAACACCCAGCAATCAAATAACCGACGAATATCTAATCGCATTTGCAACGGAAGTGTCCAACAATTTAGTCTTTAATTCCAAGAAACGGCCCAAAGTTTAGTTTCTGAATTTTTTTGGTTATGTATAAAATTAAAGTCGCGTGGACCAGGCTTAGAAGTAAACTATGGAGATGATTTAGATAAAATATTTGCCACGTTTCAAAAGGCATTGGAAACTGACCATGAACTACTGACAAATTTCAGTATTCACCCTCTTATCCATGATTCAATATCACTAAGGGCAAATCGCTGGAAACCGTTTGATGATGAATGTAATTATCGGCCGGAAAATTCTCATTTTCAAGAGGCGTCACCTATGGAGAAAGCGAGTCCCAGTACATCTGCTGAACCGTTTTACAATATAACTGATGAACAACTATTATTAGAACAAGGTGAACCAGCACGAATATTGGGGAAATATAAAAATCCCACGATGGTGCGTGAAGAAGATGTAATCAAGAAGCAAAGGCAATAATAGTCTAAATTACTGGACTATCAGATGAGTAGTAGAAGAATCTATTCGACACAATGAATTTCCGTTCGATAACAAGAAATTTATTAATTGTTATTTTCATTTCTTTATAAGAAGTCATCAACTATTTTTATACTAAATTTGTTTGTTCGTTTTAATCATGTTTAGCTACTACATTTATTACATTATGAACAAACAAGAATTAAAATTAAATTCAAAACACGAAACAGTATTAGAAAGATAAAAACAGACCAATTTTCTTCCAGAAAATTTTTTTTGCAATTTGCAAAAGATTCAAGTTTACATCATTAACTTTCCGTAGGGTAAGTTATAGTAATCGCAAAAAATTGAAAATGAAAATTTCTATGTATATTTACGTTTCAAAGGTTTCTGTTTGGCATACCTTCGAAATATGTGTGTGCGTGCGGATACAAATTTTTAGACGATTTCGGGAACACGGATTAACTGATTTGAATGAATAAATCAAGCAATTTCTATTGACAAGGAGATGTGCTGATTAGTTTTTGGCAAAGGCAGGTTTCATAGATAAAAGAAGAGTATAAAAGCAGGTTCAGCCTTTTCGAATATATCGAAGTAACTTATCAGACGTTTTATAGAAATTTTAATAATAAACTTTTTTTAAACGTTAAAAAAATAGATTTTGAGAAATTTTAAATTTTTGATAAAAATTGAATTTTTGGAAAAAAATGTTTTTTTTTCATTTTGAAATATTGCTTTTGTTGCATAGAGACAAAATATCGAAGCGCGAAAGCGCCGTGTCGCCGTTTAACGGACAAACGACGTTACGGAACCAATAAAAATGTAAAGAAAATTGATACACATTATTAAAATATCTGATAATTTAATCTGCATATATCTTATGATTTTGACCGCCAAATGACATCATTTTTTACTTTTTTTACTAGATCTCCGAAACCGCTAGACTAGCCTATTCAAAAATTTGATCAGTTCTTCACCTTCAATACAAGTAAAATGTTTTTTGAATTATTAAAATCGGACGCTACGTTCTCTTAAAAACTGAGTTACCGTTTTTGGCACTTTTTGTCCCGTATCTTCGGATCGGCTATACCTGCCTTCGCCAAAAACTAATTAGCATGTCTCCTTACCAATACAATTCGAATGTTCTTTGAATTATTCAAATCGGTTGATCGGTGTTCCCGAAATCATCGACAAAAATTTGTATCCACACACACACACACATACATCCATTTTTTCTATGGTATGCCAAAATGTTCAGAAATCTTTAAAACATAAAGATATATAAAAAAATTTATTTTCGATTTTTTTGCGATTACTATAACTTACCCTACGGAAAGTTAAAAAAATTCAAAAAAATCTTTTTTCAAAAATTTTAATTTTCTCAAAAATCTAATTTTTTCAAAGTTTTCAAATACTTCAAAGTTTTGTAAAAAAAATTTTTTCGATACGGGAAGTACCAGCAATTTGCCTCAAAGCACGATGCCGTGCACCACTAATTAAATTTACAGTTAACAATTATACTATTTAATTATCGACCCGCTTACCACTGAGGCAGAATATCGCGATTCAATATCAAAACGATTGCGCGTATCGAAATCCTAAGTTAAATTATCCAAAGTTATCATCCATAGTGAGCCTGAATATTGCTTTGCCCATGCTCATTTATCTATGGCCCATGTACTCTCTTTTTTTCTCTATGGCTTTGCCTTTGGAAATGTGTCACTCGGCAAAGTTATAGAAATTGTGATATGGCAGCACTATTGTTTGTGTGCTTTCGGGCAACATTTCTTGTAGACGCTGTCAAGTTATATGTAAACGCCTTCTGTTCTAATAAAAAATATAACATTTAATGTAAATAACTATATCTACGTTTTTAAATATTCGAAGTTATATTATAATCCGTGCATTCGGTTGTTTGCGTTACGTACATTTTGCATTTTAGTTTTTATGAATGATGAAGTGTACTGTTCCAGGTTCAAATGCAAAAAGTGAGTGTGAATATATTTTCAAACATGTAGATACTTCAAAAGCATGTATAATATAAATATCATTATGTATACTTTAAAATCACGCTCAAGCCATGCATACCGATTTCTTGGTTTGAGGTTAATGTAATAAAACTGCTACATGGGTAAACATATAGAAAAATTTAATGCTTACTCTTTGGTCTTCTAGAAGGTATTATATTGATATACATATATAAAAAATCCATACTTATGTATAGGCGCTTAACAGGTCCGTAACAGTTATATTTTTGCTATATTTAGTATTAACATTTATCAAAACTTTGAATTTGAAACTAACAAAGCATGGAAGATATATGATCAACTATATTTCGCTAAATGCAAGACTCACTTAAAGTATGTTGTTTAATTATTTTGATTTATTGCAAAAGCATTCTAATTACTTTCTTATCTTACGTTTATTATGAAATAATGTAATAGTATTATTCAAGTATTCATTTCAAATAAATTCTTGAAGATTACCGATGTACTTATAGTCATATTTTGTTTTCAAATATTTCTTTCGAGTCTTACATTGTAACTGCAATTATGGATAAGCATGTAATATATTTTTTTATACAAGTATTAATACCTCGAGGTATAAGCGTTATTAGGTAGGTTTAAAGTTTCCGTTGGCATGCAACACAATTCATTCTGTTAATGTGTTATATATATATATATATATATATATATATATATATATAATCCTTATAAAACTCAATTCAAAGGTTATCGAATATCAAACATTTTGACATATCATTGTTCATCACTGTTATTGACGAGGAATTTTAAACAAAGCTTCACATTACATAATTTAATAATATCATTTGTGTTACCATGTATATATATATATATATATATATATATATATATATAGATGAATTTTATTATAAACTGCATTGTACTTATAATATGTGTTTATACAAACAATAAACATTTTTCTGATATATATATATGTATATGTGTATATATGTATGTGCACATATACTAAATGTTATTGTCAACAATAAATGTATTGCAGAAACAAACCTTATGTTTGAGTGAGAGATTTATAATTTAACTGAATATAACGTAGAAAACTGTGTCTATTTGCAATAAATTGTGCACATTTCCACAAAAAATGTCATTGTATTTTATATGTATTCTCAAGTCAATCCTTTAAAGATAACAAGAATTTAATCCTTCAAGTCAATCTTTTAAAGGTAACGATTTTTTTTTCTGAATGTGTTAATAAATAAATGATGCTGCACACTTAATAACAATCCATTTTACTAACCTGCCATATAAATATGTATTATATATATATATATATATATATATATATATATATATATAATGTATATTTGTGTTTATATATGTATATATGAATGTATGTATATATGTATGTGTTTACATATGTATGTATGTATATGCAATTATGCCTGTATATATGTATTTTAATAACGCACAAAAGATTGTAATCTAAATACATAATCTATGAATTACATTTTAAGCGGTAACACTACTGTAATGGCCTAAAAACGTGTTTTTTGTTTTTTTTTCGAGCGCAAGGAAAACTTAAAGAAAAATATGATTTTGGAGAAAGTTATTGATTGAATTTTTAAAAATGTCAGCTTTACAGCTATTTTCTCGAGGCGCGTCAAATCAGGGGTGCTTTGCGGCATGCAAAATAGCTGCTACATTTGGAACAAAGAAAAACACTTAAGTTACATGCATATAGTTATGAAGCATCATAGAGGATTTAAAAAATATTGACGTGTGCGAGTATTAGACTAAAATCGTTAAGTTTTCAACGAAAAAAAGCCGTTTGTCAATAAATACTAATTTGACTTTTCGAAAATTATTTATAGTAAAAAATGTAGTTAATTTGCATGCTATTTAGAAAAATCGTGTTTTTCAAAATTGAAGTTTTTGAAATGTATTATAGACATGAAAAAGTAGAAAATTTGTTTAAAATTTCAACAAAATTTAAATTTTTATTACTAATAATTTGGTATCCCAAGATTTTTCTTAAACTTGCCTTAGAATGTCATTTGTTAACTTCCCGTAGGGTAAGTTATAGTAATCGCAAAAAAATCGAAAATGAAAATTTTTATATATCTTTACGTTTCAGAGGTTTCTGAACATTTTGGCATACCTTAGAAAAAATGGATGTATGTGTGTGTGTGTGTGTGTGTGTGTGTGTGTGTGCGTGTGTGTATGTATGTGCGGATACAAATTTTCGTCGACGATTTCGGGAACACGGATCAACCGATTTGAATAATTCAAAAAACATTCGATTCGTATTGATAAGGAGACGTGCTGATTAGTTTTTGACGAAGGCAGGTCTAGCCGTTTCGGAGATACGGGGCAAAAAGTGCCGGAAACGGTAACTCAGTTTTTAAGAGAACGGAGCGTCCGATTTTAATAATTCAAAAAACATTTTACTTGTATTGACAAGATAAAGAATTGATCAAATTTTCATAAAGGCAGGTCTAGCGGTTTCGGAGATCTAACGAAAAAAGTAAAAAAAAATGCTATTTGGCGGTCAAAAATGATCATTAGACATATGCACATCAAATTTTCAGATATTTTATAGAGATTTTAACAATAAGTATAAATTTTGTTTATTTTCCTATGGGTTCCGTATCAATGTTTACCCGTTAAACAGCGACGCCGCGCTTACGCGCTTTATATTTTGTCTCTATGCAGTTAAAGCAGTGCGATTGCTTTGAAAAACAAGTTCAGATCTTTCAAAATATGTCAAAATAAAGAAAACATTTTTTTTCAAAAAAAAAAAAAATAAAAAAAAATTTTTTTTTTTAAAAAAATTAAAAAAAAAAATTTTTTTTTTTCAAAAAAAAGTAATTTTTTGTCCATTTTATAGTTTGTCAAAAATCTTATTTTTTCGAAGTAAATTTTTTTCAAAAATGTTAATCGTTTTTAAAAAAAATAATTTTTGGTACGGGAAGTTCCAGCAATTTGCCTTAAGGCACGATGCCCTAATTGCCTTAAGACAGAATTCCACTTACAGCTAGTTTGTGAATTTAAGTGTTGCCGGTTCGGAGCAGCCCAGGGCGGTTAGTGAATAGCTCATAATTACAAGTAAAACTACTGGTGCATGGCATCGTACCTTAAGGCAAATTGCTGGTACTTTCCGTACCGAAAATTAAAATTGAAAAAATGCCATTTTTTTAAAAAAAAAAATTAGCATTTTAGTATAAACATTTTTTTTTTTACTTTCTTCATTGGATCTCTGAAATCGCTGCCCCTGCCTTTTCAAAAATTTCACCAATTCTTCATGCTGTCAATGCATGTGAAATGTTTTTTTAAATCATTCAAATTGGACATCCCGTTCTCTAAAAATAGTTGAAACGGCTGGACCTGCCTTTGCCTTTGCCAAAAACTAATCAGCACGTCTCCCTATCAATAGGAATCGAATGCTTTTTTGATAATTTAAATCGGTTGATACGTGCTCTCGAAATCGTCGACGAAAAATTGTATCCGCACATATTATATATACACAGTTCAGTACTGTCCAGTGATTTCGGAGCTACAATTAAAACTAGTGGTGTATGGCATCGTGCCTCAAGATTCATTTTTTTTAAACTTTGTAAAATTGGTTTTTGAGAATTTTGAAATTTTTGAAAAAAACATTTGAAAAAAAGTTTTTACGGAACCCATAGAAATGTGAACAAAATTTATACTTATTATTAAAATCTCTGATAATTTGATGTGCATATGTCTAACGATCATTTATGACCGCCAAATGGCAATTTTTTTTACTTTTTTTTACTCGATCTCCGAAACCGCTAGGCTGACTTCCCAAATAATTAATCAGTTCTTCATTTTGTGGCACTTTTTGCCTCGTGTTTTCGAAACGTCTGGAACTGCCTTGTTCAAAAACTAATCAGCACGTCTCCTTATCAATAGGAATCGAATGTTTTATGAATCATTCAAATCGGTCGCACCCGAAATCGTCGACAAAAGGCTGAGCACATACACATGCATCCATTTTTTCTAAGGTATGCCAAAATGTTTAGAAACCTCTGAAACGTAAAGATATATACAATTTTTCATTTTCGATTTTTTTGCGATTACTATAACTTACCCTTCGGGAAGTTAAATGGTAAAAAAATATGCCATTTAGCGGTCAAAAATGGTCATTAGACATATGCACATAAAATTATAAGATATTTTAGAGATTTTAATAGTTAATACAAATTTTATTTGCACTCCTATGAGTTTCGTACCAAGATTTTTAATATGGAACCGTAAGACTGCAACGCGACGCTTACGCGCTTCGATATTTCGTCTTCTTAAAAACTTTAAAAATCTATATATTTTTTAAGTTTTCAGTAAATTTTAAATCTTTTAAAAAATTAAATTTTTTGATACGGGAAGCACCAGCAATTTGCCTTAAGGCACGATGCCATGCACTATCAGTTCAAACTGGCACAAACTTGGTGTTTACTCACTATTACTCATATATTAAATACACTCGTTTTCAAACTGTAATTGGCATCATCAGGCTTCTGCACGATTCAAATTTGAATTCACTTGGTAACGTCGCGGTAACGGATAAGATGGGCACCTTGTACTCTTTATTTTTAAATTCTTAAAAAAGTTATGCTGCTATTTTTTTACTTTAATGCCGCTTGAAATTACACACAATTTAACCGCTGATTCGAGTTGGTATTTTTTATAGCATTTGAAAAAAATACTCTAAGCAATGCGAAATATTTTTTTAATGTAAGTTTTTTAATATTTTTTGTTGTGCTATTGTTTAGTGTGTGAAAAAATGTTATTGAGCTAATTCCTTCCAATGATTGTATGTATCTTTGTTGTTTATTTAGATATTAGAATTAATGTACATGTAATAAAACCGCCATTTTGTTTTTATTCAAGATGGCGGACGATAAAACTGTTGAATCGCCTTCGGAAAACATCAAAGAATTGAGTGTTGATCTACTTCCTGAAAAGCTGAAGATAGATGATATTCGAATTTACAATAACTCGACTACTGAACAAAATGCTATAACATTTCTTGAAAATGAGCATAATGATAAAGGTGATTGCGACCTAAATGATGAAAGCGACAATTGTCCCAATTTTTCTATTTATTCTGCCACCAGTATCGATTTTACTAAAACAGTTTGCGCGGAGTCTAACGAAACCGCTTTTGAAAGATGTAGTTCAGACCCAGATCCGAGTGAAGAATGTGATGAAAACTTGGTACAAATGACCGATGATGAAAATGATGATGATACACAGAAAAGGGAAACTAATGATGAAGTGGAAACCAAAGGCGGAGTTGAAGCTGATCATGAAAGTGATGAGAGTGATCATGAAAACGATGAAAGTGACCATGAAAACGATATGAATGTTCAAGAGAGCGATGAAAGCAGTCATGAAAATGATGAAAAAGCCCAAGAGTTTAATGATAGATCCCATGATAACGATGAAAGTGCCCATGAGAACGTCGAAAGTGTCTTAGAGAATGATGAGGCCACTAATGAAAATGAGAAAAGCGCTAATGAAAATGACGGAAGCGCCAATGAAAATGACGGAAGCGCCGATGAAAACAATGACAGTGCTGATGAAAACGATGAGAATGTTCGGGAAAATGATGTTATAGCTGAAAATAATTATGAAAATGCTAAGCAGTATGACAAAAATCGTGAAAATACTGACGAAATCGTTACAAATGTTAAAAATGCTGACGAAAACATAGAAAATATTAATGAAGTTATAAAAAATGTTGACGAAAGTAGTGAAATTATTAATGAAAATGCAATTGAAGCTGATTTAAATGTTGATGAAAGTGTCAAAAATTATGGTACGACGAAAGTGAACTGCGAAACCGATGATCTTGATAAAAGAGCGGCAGATGCTATGAACCACGCCACTTCAAATTGTGATCGAAATCTTGAATCGCCATCGAAAAAAGAAGATAATTCAAATAAGGGTAACAAAAAGGTGACGGCACCCTTAATTCCCAATAGAAAAGTTTTTTTGGAACTTTATGATGATAGCGATTGGGAGGAGTGGACTAATGAAAAAGTGGATGATGAGAAACGTATTAACAATACTAAAAGCTCAAGCGAAATGGATAAATTGACCGAATCCATAAGTGATATTGATGATGATCGTGGGTACACTCCTTGCCAGGACGAACGAAGTAAAATGGCCAACATGAGTGACAATATAAGAAAGTCTAATTCCTCTTTAGGCATTGGTGGTTTAGATACAGAAATGGTTTCCGAAGAGGAAGGTAACATATTTACTGATGATCTATTAAAACTGAATATCGCAAGAAATGTCGAAGCTACAGTGGAAGATGGAGAAATTGTTGAAAAGACTAAAGGTCAAACATCAGTGAACGATATGAATGATTTGATTGATTCAGCAACATTAGATGAGTCGTTAATGACAGTAACTAAAAATAAAGAAAAGGGAAGTGAAAGTAAAAAGAGTAACTCAACTTCCGAAATTTTCAAAAAAGTTACTTCTAAAGATAGGAATTATAGGGATAAGGACAAGAAGAAAAAATCGCGTTCGAAATCTAGAGAAAAGAGAAATCATCGAAAAAAGAAGGATTACTCTAATAGGAAGAAGGAAAAGCGAAAGGACCTCGAATATTACGACGTTCGAAATGTCATTTCTGAGAGAAATAGAATAAGAGGCGATAAAGATGAATATGGCAGAGAACGTCGTCCGATGCGTTCTAGAAGTAATTCGAGATCTAGAGTCAGCCCTGACAAAACACGCAGAAAAACAAATTCTCACCGTGAAAAGCGTTCTAGAGGGCGTTCAAGAGTGCGTTCAGGATACAGAAGATTTCACAGTAGCAGATCGAAATCTCGTTCAGTGTCACGCTCTAGGTCTTCTTCGGTTGAACATCGCAGGCGAAACAAAAAGTCTAGAAGTATTCGACGGAGATCGAGATCACCGGAAAGTGCTTTTGTTTCTAGGTCAGTGCATCGTTCCAGATCAAGAAGTCTTTTAAAAAAATCGACTAACTCTAAACGTAAGCGAAGTCCTTCTTACCGCCACGATTGGTCTCCACCATGGAGACCATCGCCATCCCCCAATAGTCGCGTTTCTGTCTCGCCGCACAACAATAAAGCAACTTCTCCATCATGGACTCCGCCTTTGCGTGACAACATGGCCGGAGCAAAAAATCTAAAGGTAATTGTGAATAATAAGGATGCTACTAAAAAGAAGAAAGATAAAAAGAAAAAATCTGACATGAGACAAAAGGAAACGTCCGATAGAATTACTAAAAAACGTCGTAGGAGTTCTTTAGATCAGCCATCTAAGGAAGTATTTGCTTCTGGGGATAATATTTTAGTTAGTGTGAGTTTTAACAAAAATAAATCAACTAATATAGATAGTGGCCCTCAAACCCAAGATCACAACTTTTCCAAACGTAAAAGTAAAGCTACAGATGATTCAAGAAAAATAAAACAAAAACGAGGGACAAAACAGACAAACGAAGCAAAAGGCGTCGCCTGGACTTAGTGAATCGAAAGCCTATTGCTATTATAGATCTAGATAAATCTCCATTTAAAGAACTAACACCCTCACCTAGGGCCGTTATTGTTCTTACTGATAGTGACGATGATGAAAAAGAACAATCTTTATTAACAAGGCAAGAGAGAATACATAAAGAACTTGGTTCACTAAGAGAAGAATCTCAAACTGGAAGCCCGTCATATGAAACACTATCCTCATTTGCAAATACTGGTCCTAAAACACCTCCGGAACCTCAAGCAAGTTTCTCACTTCAATTGAAAGCTCCTCCTAAGTTAAGAAATCTCAACATATTATATGATATTGAAGAAGATATGACAGAAGATAATAATTTAGAACAAAATCACTGTGATGCTACGGATAATAATCATGTTGAAGATGTGTTACACATTGGTCCCAATACGCCACCAGAACCACCAAATTCACCACCAAGTTCTCCAGATGCTTACGATCCATTTGAACCCACAAAATCACCTTCACAAAGCCCTGATATAATAAAATCACAAAATAATCAATGTCTTTCTGAAAAACAGACAAATGAAGAAAAAGTTACAGAAAATCAGTGCCATAAGGATATTGCACAAATTAATACAGCAACTATTGAAGACAATCAAACTGACAATGCAAATACTGTAGAAAAGGTGCTTGCTATGTTGACGCAACGGTACACCAGCCCTGAGAAAGGGTTATGTTCTATGGGACAAAACGATATCGGAAAATCCCCTTCAGATGTTGAGGTTGTAATGCAAAATTCAGCTGCTGACACTAAATTAACAAGTCCTGAAAATGCCAAAACTGGGGTTACCATTTTAAGCAATGTTTTGCTTCAACCGAATATGTTGAATATGTTAAAAACTAGCACACCAGACTCCATGTTAGTTTATTCGACGGGAGGAGCACCTGCTTCGGCAAATCCGTTACTAACACTTAATACTTCAAGATCCAGCTTGTTCAATTCTGCTGGCAGTGTTGTTCAAAATTCTGCTTCCAACAACAAAACTAATAAATCACAAGTACGTCCATCTCCTATAAAATCAAATCCTATCAAACCTATGGTTAAGACAGCAGTCATTAAGCCTGGAATTCGTCAATATAATGCTAATAAAATTCACAAACCCTTGAAGTATGATGGAGATGTTGACGTGGATAGTCCATATTCTCCATGTTCTGATGATTTTGATGATTTGTTTGAGCCACCGACTACTGATGCTGCCAAAACAACTAAAACTCATAAAACAAAAAGTCCAGTTAAAAAATCACAAGATTTTGATCACTTATTCTCTTCACCTAGTTATAAACCATCTATAGTTACAAAAGCTGATAAAAAATTATACAATAAAAAATATAAGAAATCTAAATCTAATAAAACACAAGTTGGTGTGAAGATTGATGATGATCAATTAAAAATTCTTGATGAATTGCCCAGTTCAGCAGTAGAAATGCAAGTGAAAGACAAATTTATGAAAAAGTTGAATCGTCAAGAGCGAGTTGTAGAGGAAGTGAAAGTTGTTCTTAAACCACACTATGCCAAGCGTCATGTAACGAAGGAGCAATATAAAGATATATTAAGAAGAGCTGTTCCCAAGATTTGTCATAATAGGTCAGGTGAAATTAATCCACAACGAATTCATAGACTAATAGAAGCCTATGTAAAAAGAGCAAGGTATTCTAAGAAAACTGCAAACACACAGTGATAAATAATTTGATAATAGTTGCATATGTACAATTATATATTATATATGTATATATGTAAGCATTCATGTATGCGAGCATACATACATACAAATATGCACCCTTTCATTGGCACATATGCAGTATGCAGTATATGCAGATATAAATAATGTATATAACTAGTTAAGAGACTTGTATATGTAAGTACAGATTTGTTGATTTGTCAATTTAGAAAATAGTATTGTTCATTTTTTTGTGTATTGTGTTAAAGTAATGCAATATAAATTTTATACCATATCTATAGATGAGATTATTTATTTTAATCAGAAAATATTGAGGAGTTATAGTAACAATTTATACAGATTTGATAGTATTCCACATCCAGTTGTAATATGATTGAATGATGGATTTTTATTATAATATATATTTTACTGATCAAATTCTTTAAATTATATATGTAATGTGTGTGTGCATGCAATAATATACATGGCTAGAAGTATATATACATATATATATATATATATATATATATATATATTAACAAAGTCTAGTAATTGGGCATAACATCAATAAAAAAATGTATTGATGTTATGCCCGATTACTAGACTTTATTAATACATGTCAACATCAAATTCAGAATCATACATATATATATATATATATATATATATATATATATATATATATATATATATATATATATATACGGAACGAGTTTCAACAAGCAGGCCTTCCAAGCGTCTTCATCAGTCAAAATTTCTGTATTCATTCAAAAAAATATGAAAGTTAATTAAAACCATTATGAGTGAATGACAAAATCGAAAATGTAAAACAATTACAAAGTATAATTATAGATTTAGACGGATGTGTATGTATGTATGTATGTATGTAATATGGGTGATCCTTTTTAAATTTATTATATTACAATACCACAGTGTAGTTCATATTCTTATACTACGGATTGATGAATTACACTTTTAATTTTAAGCTGTAAATCTATTCTATTGTTTTACCATTTGAAAATTAATAAGTTCATCACAGATATCGGCTAGGACTGTGGTTGGAAAGTATATATTCTAACAATAAGAAAACTTAATTTAAAAATAATTAAATAAAATATTCATAATAATTTTCTTATTGTAAGATTCAGAAAATTTTGAAAGGTCAACATTTTTTCCCTATAAATACAAATAATGTGATTAAAAATATAATCAAAATTACTCTGTGTTCTGAGAACATATTTTTGAATTGATTATTTCTCTTGTGAATGTTTTGGGATGTTTTCTCAATGTAACAGTACAATATAATCATTTATATATATATATATATATATATATATATCATATAAATTAGATATGATTTATGTAATATATATTTTTGAAAGCATATATGAACTAATATTCTAAAGTTGTATAGGTAAATTTTATCATATAACGCGATATTTAAGTTTTTCCTTATTTTTTTTTAAAGGGCATAAACAACTTTCAAGAAACAGCTCAGATATGATTTATTTGAAAATTAAAAATTAAGTATATTTAAAGGAGTGGTTCAAACATACAACGATGCATTCACTCATACACACACACACACACACATATATATATATATATATATATATATATATATATATATAGATATAGATATATATATATATACGTGTATGCATAGATATATAATATATATTTGATAAAAATTTATTTGTTACTCCTAAGCTACTTAGGGATTGGTAATCAGTGTTGAGATTTATATTTTTCGCACTTCTCACATACTTCTTGAAGCTCGCAATTGCAATTACATAGTTTTATTAAGTTGTAACTTTAATTACATTTAAATTATTTTTTAAGTTATATTTGCGTAAAAAATTCAAATTGCGTTAATATATAAATCTTTATTAATATATTAATGTAAATATATATATATATATATATATATATATATATATATATATATATATTGTTATAAAAACGTTTTTAATGTAGCGGATAGGCGGGCATGCAACAAGGATGTCTGAACACTTTTTTTTATTCTATTAAACATGCTGCTTTAGCACGTGAATAATTCTTTTATGTTTTGTTTGTTTTCTGTAATCATAATTGATCTAATATGAATGTGTATATAACATTATACACGGATCACGTATCTATTGACTTCTCAACCGTTTTTCGATATTGTACTTTTGAAAGAAGTTCAACGTTATAATTTAGAAACTTATTTATAGTGACTTGTATTTAGTTATTTATTTAAATAATTTGTATAACTTGCATGTATACACCTATTTTCTACATACATGCATTTGTGAATACCAATCTGTATATATAATATACAAATATGTGCGTACGCCGTGCCCCTGCGTGCCTATTAAATAAATATGTATTTTTATGGGTTTTCTTAGTTTTTGCACCACAAGTTGTGAATAATTTTAGAAAAATTCTCTTTGTTAGCTGCAAAGTTTTCTTATTTCGTGCTTTTCAATTCTAGAGTTTCCATGATATGTATTATAGTTCTTTGTATAATTAGTCATGTATGTATATTTACATATGCAAATACTATTCCCGTACGGCATATATATATATATATATATATATATATATATATATATATATATATATATATATATAGTGAATTTATGTGTGTATGAACGTTTGCCTAGTTTATATTTATATTTGTATATAGTCATAAATAATACATGCATGCCGAAATATCAATTAGAGAGCAATGTAAATATTTTTTAAAAATGTAAAGTTTAAATGGCTTGTATTTTTTTTAGTTATTGTCACTGATAATTATTATTATAGTGTAAGTGTTCTTAAAGAAATAAAATTTTAAACCGACTTAGTCTTTTATTCTGGTTTGTGATTAGCGATATGAATTAATTTAGAATAAGTATTGTGGGAATAAGATTATAAACATGTGAACATTGAGGGCAATATTATATATAAGTTATAATTTTGATCGTTAATTGCTTTAAGACCATATCATAAGTTATTTTGTTGTCATTACCAGAAACATGTAATCCACTACTTATTCATGGCCTGCGTTTCATTTTAATTTAACATTTCAGAGAAACATTTTTCTTGTTTTTCTATTTATTAATGGTAATCTTTCTGCCTCGCGATTATTTTGAATTACGAAGTTTTGCTATATAAAATTTTGTTTTATTTTATAGGTTTTCTTTGCTTGTTACGCACTTGTTCAAAACAATCGTTGATTTTTGTTTGAATTCGATTTCTGTGTAGTAACATCAACTCACTCTTAATTTTACTCATATTATTGTATGATTAATGAAATATCAATTAATAATTATGTATAATGAAATTTCTTTAAATGATCTATAAGATTATTATGAATATGTCGATTGAACTATCCAATGTAATGAATTTTATTGCAGAGTTCAATATAATGTTTGATCACGAATATTATTTAAATAATAAAGTAGTATTTTTTCATTTCTTTTTCTAGTTATGGGAAGAGCACTGCACGCTTTGTCACGTATTGGGAATGTATTATATATAGAACCAGGTATCGAAGGATTATCTTTTAAGGCGGTGAATTCTGTGAAGTCGGCATATGCTGTTATAAATTTTTTACCGAACTTTTTTACGGATTATAACCTGGATAATTCAAGCGAAGAAGTAAGACAAAGCATGAAGTGCAAAATAGCCATCAAATCTTGTCTGTCGCTCTTCAAGATATCAAATCTGGGAAAAAAGGTTAATATCCGAAAATTTATAATTAAACTGTTTAATTTTCTTTTTTCACTTTAAAAATTGATTATGATTTATCGAAATAATTGGTCGTATTTAATTTGCTCACATTAATGTTTGTTGTCGGCCTTGCTAGATCATTTTAATTTGCTCATATTAATGTTCGTTATCGGCATTGCTAAATCATTTAACCACTTACATTATTTTATGTTATATCTTATTCTATTCAGTGTTCTACATCGTATTGCTTTTTAATAGTGATGTGCCGACTCGAAAATTGTCCGAACCGAATAAAAAGAAACCTAACTGATACGAGTCATGATTCGAATCAACTCGAAAAAAACTTTGGACAAATAAGCTATTTAGTGAATGTAATCAAGATTTATGATAAAAATTGTTTAGTTTTCGATAAAATAAACATTGTAAAACGATTTAATTTAGAAGACAGTTGCAATATATTTTCAAATTAATTTACAATAATAGATAACCAAACGCTTCTGCATCACTAAAGCATATAAAACAATATTTGAAATTTTGGGTCTATTGATATTATGTTTATTTTATTTTATAATGAGCAAAGAAAGGATCACATGTAAGAGCTGAATACGTGGTCGTTCTCTTAGTATGACGAGTCAATAAAAGTGCCCACCAATAACGTATCGAAAAAAATATCAAATCAAAAGTTGCATATGATTTACCTGGCGTTCTGATGTTTAATAATTGTTTCTAAGTAAATTTTGTATTAAAACTTTGAAACTATAATTTCATAATATTGTTGTTTATTTTGATATTCTGAGTGGTTTATTGTGACAAAATTTAAAGTCCATACTACTACATTTGACAAAAACGTTATAAATCATGTTCCGAATTTATTGAATTAACATGACGTCTCTAAAACACATATTTATTATCAAAATTAAGTATTAATATTTCTCTAACGAATTCCCATTCGGCGTTCCGTCTAATAAACAAATTCAAGAACACAATGATGCGGTTGTATCTGCGCATCTGTTCATAAGTTAAATGACTTTCAAGCAAGCCGAGTAACTCGAACGATTCGATTCAATTCGATCCGGATCATGCGATTAACTCGAATGATTCGATTCGATTCCGATGCGAGTAACTCGAATGAGTCCATTAATTCGGGTAGCTTGTATGATTTAATTCACCTTTTGTAATTTTATATTTATAGTTATTAAAATTTATGTTCATGCATATTGTAACTCAGTAAATATTTCGCGGCTTGAAACGAGTTGATTATTAAGTGAAAGATTCGAATCAGGTTGTAGAGGTTTCGATTCAAATTATTCGAATCACTTGATTCGAGCTGGCACACCACTTTTTACATTCTTCTTAATTTTTACATACTTTTTTATTATCTTATTGTTCTACTGAATGTTCTACATCATATTAGCCATGCTGATTTTGACATACTTGGCACACCAGTGCTGAGATTTTTACTTGAAAATACATTTTTGATCTATACATATCTAATTCTAACAATATGTGAAAATTGATATTAATGCTGCTAAACCTATCAGTTAGCACGATTTGCGGGATTTTACTTTGAGACCTTAACACTAAACCTACCGACAATTCATGTATATATAAGTAACTTACCGAGCGCGGTCAAATTGACCTACAATTGAAAAGGTATCTATTTTAATATTTAATTCAGATCATGATTGATGTATTGTTTAATGTACATAAATTAAAGAAACTTTCGTGAAGTTCATTTATATTTAATTTTTATATAATTTCAAGTAAAAAAATAATTAGAGAAAAACTAATAAAATTAAATATTTATAAAAAATGATATATGCATACATAATATTCGGCTTTCTCACATTGTTTATAAATTATTTTAATCTGAAGTGTACGTTTGACGCATTTTCACCAAACTATGTACTAATACGCACGGCCGGTTCTAGGGTCCTTAGCGCCCGCATTCCATTATTTTTCTATTATATTTTTCTTGAATGATATTGAAAAAACTATATAATAAATTTCACATGCGAATCTCGTGTGCTCGCATTTATCGCATGCATCGCATTCAAGGTACGACCGGCTCTGCTAATACAAAATCTAATAGTTTTCGGAACACTTTTGCTGCTTTCAGGGTAAATTACTCCGGGTTTATAAAATCATTACTCTGAGTTATGAAATTTGATTTATACAAATTGCTTCAAAATCTGCGAATGAATTGATCAGTTTTAGAACAACGGACTACCAACGGACCAATTGAAAAATTGAACAATCTCTGCCCTTGTCATTTCCCAAATAGGGAAACTTATTTATTATATATTTACTTATTGACTTCACACACATCCAGAACTTTATTCTAAATTTGTCTGGTTCAATTGGTATATAAATCATTTCGACGGAAACAACTCCCTAAACGGCTCTAAACAACTCCCCCCGCGGTCTTTAGGTCAAATAATTTTTTTTTTCGAAAAATAGAAAAAATAAAAAAGAAAATATTAGTATATTCTAAGGTTTGTCATATAGTTTCATAATGAGATATTTTAACGTTTAAAAATGGCTAAGTTATACACAAAGTTTGAAACGGTCAATTTGACCGGCATTAGTAGGGTAGGCTTAGTATTAAAGTTACTAGGGCGGAAGTTCAACCATTGCGCCACCTACACCCCCGCAGTTAAATTATATTTTTTAAATGCGTTAAAGCCAGAATATAATCATTACAGTTTTCTTTTTGGGAAGCTAATTATAATTAATTCTAATACTATATATGAAACATGAATTAGTTTCTTACAATAACTGAGTGGCGTTGTTTTTTTTCGAATAAATAATTAATATTTAATTTTTATAATATCAATATAATGTTTCGGTCATCTTATTTATTTTCAAACTTATTTTCAAATGAGAACTGATTTCACATTTGCTCTTTTGTACGGCTACAGTTTTCACTAAAAAAGCATGTGTTTTGGTTTAGTGTGTTCAGGATTATATCATGCACATTCTTTATTCTTTAATAAATTATTTTTTCACATTGTTTGAAAGCGAAGGATTTGACCCAGTTCATATTTATATTATCTGAAAACCATAGATAAATAAGATAAATAATAAACTGAAAACAGTCACAAACTAGTTTATTCCAGTATGAAGCAACTTTTATTTCTATTTCGTTATTTATCTGTGATAACGCTCATGTGATTTTTAGCAGTGCTATGAATACGAAAAATGCGGGCACGCCTTAGGGGGCGCCAACACGAGATTTGGATATGAAATTTATAATATAGTTTTTTAACCCTCCGTCGGGCGCAGTCCCGTTACGCACACGTTCGGGCGCAGTGTATCCGACAGCAACGGTTTTTAAGTATATCCTCAGGAGGCTCCTTATTTTATAAACATGTTAATTTTTTGTTTAATTATATTTCAGAATGTATACTTTTTGAATAAATAGAAAAAAAGAAGAATTCAATAATATTTTATTATAAAATGTAGAAAAATATAAACCTGTGTATATATGCACAAATTATTTACACTCACTTTTCTTTATTGAAATACACAGTCTCTAACTTTTTTTTCATTTGTCACTTTATAAAAAATAAGTAATATAATAATGATAGTTTAATGTGTATAGTTAAATATTATCATTTATTGAAGCATTTCAACAAGGACTGCATAGAAAGATCGCATGTTGGAAACACAGTGCTTTTCGACATTTAGCACAACAAAATCTTGAAAGCCGTCTAATATTAGCTTCTAATGTACACGGTTCACATCGTCGTTTTTTTCGTGGCTCTTCTTGTTTTTGTGAGCCATTTTCCTGTGAATTTGGTCTGAATCTTTTGAGTCCTGCCTGCAAAGTGAACAGTATCCCACTCGTGATTTCACTTCTTCTTGTTAGCTGTCCAAGAACAAGTTCATGCGATAATTGTCTCAAAAATATCTTCTTCGGAGATCTTTCTTATCATTCCCATGACTCCAACATTCTATAGGCGTTGCAGCATTTTTTGCGTTTCCTATAACACCTGGTAAATGTCTTAATAAGTTCTGGGATTTTGTTCGAGTCCTATTAGAGGGAGGTTTGCTACACCATTTTGTAGATTTATCTCTACTCATAAAATATTTAGCATTGTTGTTCAAATTTATTTCTTCCTCACTCTCATCCTGTTCGTCCTCTTATTCTGTCTCAGAATCGACTTCGCGACTCTCTAGATGGTCTTCGTCACTTCCACTTTCATCACCTAAATCGTCAAGAAGATTATTTTCATCAGCATCATCATTCAGCATTCTTAGAATCTCTTCTGAATGAGCTGGCTTTTCTAAATTATAAATTTTTTTACCACTCGCCATATTTACTAGCCTATAAAATGTATGGACTCAAGTTAGTAACACATTCGGGCGCAGTGAATCTCGTAGATACTTTCAAAAAATTGCAATTAAATGAAAAGTATTGAGATATATATTCAAAAATACGTAAAAAAATACAGAAAAAGAATACTTACATTCACAAAAAATTGCAATATTCGTACGTTTCAAAATGTTGCACGTTCGGGCGCAGTGTATCTCTAGGATCAAAATACCGATTGCCACTATATGTGAAGGTCAAACACAAAATGATAAAGACGCATAAATAAAACATATAAAATTAGGAGGCTATTGAAGAGTGGAGGTTTCTATAACATTCAACCAAGGCGCAGCATGAAAAATTATTGGCTCTGTATCTGTCAGATCGGCTGCGCCCGACGAAGGGTTAAGAAATATATAATTTCTTTGCATCTTCTAATAATCTTTGGACAATATTTTTAAAATACGTTAAAAATATTTAACTTCAAAATAACAATTTGATACACGATATGAAAGTAAAGATGAATACATACAATTAGGTCCTTACGATATTAATTAATTCCGATTAATTACGATATCAATTTTGAATATTTTAAATAATGAAAATTTTTAAAAAGTCCAACATAAAGTTCGAGTGTTATTATGTTTAATAATGAAAGGCTAGAATTTTTTTGCTTCCTTAGCATGATTTGCTCAATAGAATAAATGGCATAAAATGCCCAAAATAAATAAGTAAAATATTTCAAAACCCAAATATCACATGCATTAGAAACAATTAAAAATTTAAAAATATTATTGCAAACAATAATGAACTTACTGAAATATATTTTTTTTTATATCGTAAAAAGTTTGGATAAAAAATAAAAATTTAAAAATAGTTCTGTTCAACAAAAGAACACACGACAATTTGATTCTGAGCAACCTGCGAATCGCTTCGGTCTTATTTTATGCGCTTTTAGACTATACCTAATTTTTCATATACGAAATTCAGAATTATTAAAAAGTATTCAAAAAAATTAACGTAAATATTTATATAATTTTAACGATAAGCTGTTTAAACAGTTAAAATAAAAGGAGGGAGGGCGCTAAAAAAAATGGAATGCGGGCGCTGAAGACCCCAGGACCGGCCCTGATGTTTAGTATTCGAATAGTACATTAACACAGATAGTTATCAATAAAGAAAATAGTAGTGCTATTTAATCGTTAGCCTTTTATAAAGGTATGCATGGATATTTACATTATGAATTACCTTGAACTCAACTTAAAGTAACTTTATTTAAATACAAATAAAAATGAACTACCATCAACTAAAAATAGTAACTTCTAAGGGTATAAATAATTTCATTTATTGCTTTCATCGCCCGTTTTTACTATAATTACATAGGCCAATAAAAAACCTAGTTGGTATTGGGATTTTGCCTTGAGGCAAGTTACATGAACTTCCCGATATGTGTAAATAATCGACTTAATATATAAAAAGAAATATTGATTTATGAGTGATTAAAAGTATTCCGAGTGGATTCATTACACACAATTGAACACGAACGAAGACGTTCCAAACGAAGCTAATTTTCATAAATCAAAAATTGTTATAATTGAACCAGTTTCCATAGGACTTTAATGGTTTAGTAAGTTCATTAAGACCAAATACTCTATCGTTATACCAAGTAAATCGTCGAATTTCAATTTTAGCAAACGTCAAAAAAACTACTCATGATTTTTAAAATTAAACTACTTGTTGTAAAGCATTAATTTTTCAGTAAGTTCTATAATAGCATGATACATATCGCCAAAAAAGTTCCATAAAAATCAGCTTAATTTTTTTGCAACAGTTAATTACAAGAAAACGGCTCGGTAGATTTTATTCCCAACCAATCATTTTTAATCAGTGTCATTCCCAACCAATATCTTTCGAATAGTTTTTGATTTTTTTAATCAAAAACTGTTCTGTATTTTTTGATAAAAAATTTTTTAATTCACAAATCGATTTAATTTTTTTTCGACAGTTAATTACAATAAAACGGCTCGGTAGATTTTCACTTAAAACCATCCTAAAACTAAGTATCATTCCCAACCAATATCTTTCGAACAGTTTTTGATTTTTTTTAATCGATTCGATAGTATGATCTTAAATGTGGACGAAAAGTTTACCACTTTTTTTCTAAATTACAAAGAAACTGCTCGGCAGATCGTCGCACAAAACTGACAAACTGACAAAAAAGGCCATATCTATCACCAGAAGAAAATTCATGAAAATCGTCGAATTTTTTTTTTTAACTCTATCACAAGAAAACGGCCCGGCCGATCTTTACCAAGAACTAATCAGGTCTATTCCCAACCAATATCTTTCGAATGATTTTTGAATTTTCAAAATCGATTCAGTATTGTGGTCTAAAAACGAAAAAATTTTCACTTTTCTGCTATTTACGAAGAAAGGAAATTTTGCTTGTAAAAATGAATTATTAAATTTGTATAAGGTATAAGAAGGTAAATATATAAAAGATGCACAGTATTTATGTGCCCTTTAGTAATAATAACTCAAGGCCACAAAACAATAAAGTGGTCTGCGTTGGGGGCACGACATAAGTTTTCCTACATATTTTTTCCCCTGAATATGAATCAAAAGTCAAAATTAATTGAGTTATTCATAATTGTTGTCTGAGACTGATGTTGAAGGTAGTAATAACGGAATGTAAATTGAAATTATTTTCTCAACACATTTTATTTATATACTTTCCCATTATGAATAATTAGAAGACCTCATTTTCAGGTAGAAAGTTGGCAGATAAAATTCGATATGAGGAATTCCAAAATAGTATTTTTTGTAAAATGTCGTAATGATGTTATTAAAACGCATTATTTGCCAATATTGGATAGTGATTCTCTTCAAGCTTCCTATGCAAAAGAGAACATAGTGAATTCATTAGTCTTTAGAACAAATGTTTTGCTAGAAGCTATGAATAATTTTCAAGCAACTGAAGAAGATGTGACCGTTGATGTAAGATCAGAATGTCTATTTCTAAGGAATTATGAGGAATGGAGTATTAAAAATAAAATATTAAAGACTGAATTGAAAATGACGTAGGTATTATTTAGCATGATAAATATTATATTTTCAAGTGTTATATGAATATTATGCTGAAATAGGTCCAATGAATTTGAGGAATATAGGATCGACTATGACACAGTAATATCATTTTCAATGAAAGAATTCCGAGCTATTTTGAATTTTGCCGAATTTCTTGATTTGCCAGTTAAATTTAATTTTGAAACGACTGGAGTGTTAGTATATATGGATTCATAAATAAGATATAAAATGTTATAGCATCTTTTTAACATATTCATGTTATTTTAGCCCGGTTATTTTTACCATTTCAAATGATTCTACTTTCGAAGCTAATTTTGTGATGGCTACTTCAGAACCTGATAATGAAGATGATATTAGTAGCAGGGCTCAAACTTCGGAGAGAAATGAAAGTAATTTTTCTGCTGCTAGCAAAACTAAAAGAAAAGATAAAAATAATGTGGGATCGTCTGGAGATGTTTTGTTTAATTTTCAAAATAAAGTGTCTCAAAACTCGTGCCCACAATATGATCAAGTTCAGTTTACAGAATCTTTGCCAAATTTCTCGGAACAAATTAGTTCTGAAATTAGAGATGATTCACTTCCTGTTAATGACGAACTTGTAAAGTCAAATGTAATTCCAGCTTCTCCTCAATGTGATAAATATGATAAAATCATAAAAAAAGTATTTAAACGATGTTTTGAAGCAACTTATAATCCATCCAATGATAGACCGAATGAAAATGAAATATTAGCAGAAGATTCAGATGTTGAATAGAATGCATTGTTTGTTATAGTTCCTAAAAATCAAAAAAGTCTGTACGGAATGATATTTTGTTTACATTTTTTAAGTGTATGTATATTGCCTTTTTAAGAATGTATAATTTATTTAATTAAAATTTAAAGAGAAATCATACCAAATGTTTATTTAAGCAAACAGCAATTCATAGCAATTTTATCTAGTACTATAATACAAATTTATAAACTTTATCTCATATTCTAAATTCATGTTTCTAAATTAAGAACATCAGAAATTATTGGAAGTTAATTTTTTTGTGAATGATTTTACCATTTTTTCACAAAGAAAATAAATTACATTCATTAAAAAATTCTGAAAAACAAAGTTGAATTTTGTGCCTAAAAAAATTTACTAATAAAAGTATAGTAAAATCAAAAAATTATGATAAAACCATAATCATTTGAAAAATATGGGAAAAACAAATTCAAAATAGAAAGTGTTGTACAAATTTTCTTCCCACGACAATATTTACAATTCAAGCCCTGTATCATAAATTTATTGTGATAATTAAATTAACAGTGTATAGATTATCTAGCCTATATAAAAATTGTTAACCAGAACACCCTCTACACCCGCAGTGAACACACTCGACAATTCGACCTTCTTCCAGCTTACTCTTTGGAACTCGGCAAATGCAATTTGTGCCAAAATTAGTGTCACGACTTTGTATACAGCGTAAGCAACATAAATTCTCATAACCAGATTTTTTCCATTTGGCTATTAAATTACCATCTGCAATTTTTTCACTGATACAGTAATCATATAACTCACGACTGATTGCTTTTCTTCTGTAGAATAAGTCATAGATGTATCTTGATTTTTGATGATGAATTTTGAAGATAGGCCAAAGCGATTCTTGTTTGCGTTTTCCTTCGTGCGGATCAGTTTCAGCTAGAACCATTTATATAAAAATAAGTAATAGTTGAGAAAGTCAAATTTCAATCTCAAGATATAAAAATGAAGTAAAAAATATTTTTTGTATTTCATTATAGGAGTATCTGAAAATTTAAATATCAAGCTCTAAATCTTGTACATATAATTCTTGAATAACAGATTGATTTTGAAAACAATTAGTCAAAAAGTTTAGGAAAAAGCATTTACTGATAAATAATTATAATTACAAGAATTACCTTCTCTCATTTTTTGTTCTAATTCTTCTAATGTGGGTTCTATCAACTCCCATCCTTCAGGTGTGCTTTTACGACTTCTACGTACTTTTGGCATTTTCTTCACTGTAAACAAAATTCACTGAGAACTATAGACATATAAAAATTTACTATCGTCGAAGAAAAATAAACATCAAATATAACTTCACCTTATAGCAATATACTTATATTTGAAATAAATTGCACAAATTCAATTCAAAAGTCATTTACAAAACTAAAATTACAAATTAAGATCTGTCAAAGTATTCTTTTATAAATAAACGAAAATTCTGGATAAACACAGACAAGATAGATAATCCGTGTGTTCACGGCATACACCGAAAATTTATTGCCAACATTAGAAATGAATTGTGGTGAACTTCAATTGCATTTGAATTGACAGCTCATGTGACATGTGACAGCTTATATTTTCATTCGATTGTCAAGTTCATTGTGAGTGTGTTTTTTTTGGGTTAACTAGTACATATCAATCTTTTTATATTACAAATTATTACATACAAAATTGAAGTATTGAAGTGTCTAATTTGGCTCTTAACTGAATTAATTTCAATTAATATACACATATACTCTGCAGATTATTTTTCATATGCCTTGCAGATTATTTTCCAGCAGACGACTTTGGTGAGCTTTTTGTTATTCAAATTTTATATTTGTGATTTTTTGAATTTTTGATACATAATTTTTATTAATTAAATTAACTTTTGTTTTTGCGATAATCTACTTGGTCAAACTAAAGATTGAAGATTTATATAGAAATGTATACCTAAATGCATATATATATATATATATATATATTTTGTAGAGTTTCGAACAAGAATCCAAAAATAATACAAAATAAAAAACAAGAAAAGTTTTTAAAAAAACAATTTCTTTATTTAATTATTTGTTTATTGTCGACGTTTCGGAACTAGGTACGTTCCATCTTCAGGACATCTGTCAAGAAACATGATCTTGATGAGATTTTTGCAAACAATATGTTTAGGAAAAGAAAATAGATTTTTCTTAAATAATGAATTGAATTGTAAAAAATATAATAATGTACAGAAATATGATAATATGTTCAAAATAAAAATGATAAAAATAAATGAGTGGATTATCAAAACAGGATATTAAACATAATAGAAAATTTTTTGAAAGTTATGGAAATTTTTTAAGAAAAGGTTAATGACAAAGTTGAATTAATTACCTGTATGTTTGAATATTTGTTAGCACTTTTTCACTAAACAAGCTTGTTTAGTGAAAAAGTGCTAACAAATATTCAAACATACAGGTAATTAATTCAACTTTGTCATTAACCTTTTCTTAAAAAATTTCCATAACTTTCAAAAAAATATTTCTATTATGTTTAATATCCTGTTTTGATAATCCACTCATTTATTTTTATCATTTTTATTTTGAACATATTATCATATTTCTGTACATTATTATATTTTTACAATTCAATTCATTATTTAAGAAAAATCTATTTTCTTTTCCTAAACATATTGTTTGCAAAAATCTCATCAAGATCATGTTTCTTGACAGATGTCCTGAAGATGGAACGTACCTAGTTCCGAAACGTCGACAATAAACAAATAATTAAATAAAGAAATTGTTTTTTTAAAAACTTTTCTTGTTTTTTATTTTGTATTATTTTTGGATTCTTGTTCGAAACTCTACAAAATATACACAAATCCAAGACTCTACCATTCAATATATATATATATATATATATATATATATATATATATATGATTTAGTAGTTAATTTTGATGTTGAAATATATGAGTGAGTTCTTGAGGGCGATACATCAGCGATTTGATGTATCGCCCTCAAGAACTCACTCATATATATATATATATATATATATATATATACTGCAAATTATCGGCAATTTCTAATATTTATTTTCATATACCTGTTTCTTTACAAAACTAAAATTACAAATTAAGATCTGTCAAAGTATTCTTTTATAAATAAACGAAAATTCTGGATAAACACAGACAAGATAGATAATCCGTGTGTTCACGGCATACACCGAAAATTTATTGCCAACATTAGAAATGAATTGTGGTGAACTTCAATTGCATTTGAATTGACAGCTCATGTGACATGTGACAGCTTATATTTTCATTCGATTGTCAAGTTCATTGTGAGTGTGTTTTTTTTGGGTTAACTAGTACATATCAATCTTTTTATATTACAAATTATTACATACAAAATTGAAGTATTGAAGTGTCTTATTTGGCTCTTAACTGAATTAATTTCAATTAATATACACATATACTCTGCAGATTATTTTTCATATGCCTTGCAGATTATTTTCCAGCAGACGACTTTGGTGAGCTTTTTGTTATTCAAATTTTATATTTGTGATTTTTTGAATTTTTGATACATAATTTTTATTAATTAAATTAACTTTTGTTTTTGCGATAATCTACTTGGTCAAACTAAAGATTGAAGATTTATATAGAAATGTATACCTAAATGCATATATATATATATATATATATATATATACTGCAAATTATCGGCAATTTCTAATATTTATTTTCATATACCTGTTTCTTTACAATTATTCACTGTAATTACAATTATAGTTATTAGGAATTATTGTGGGGAATGTATTACTATTTGTAAGACGAGATAAACTGGATGTGATATAATTAAATTTTTATATGTCAAAATAATAAATAATAATAATAATAATAATAATAATAAACAGTAGTTTGGTCCATGGTATGAAAACACCACATAATCAATGATTTCCTTCCTCTCCCTTGTTTATTATTCCCATTACCGTTTTATTACCATTAATGACTTTTTATTCATTTTTATGAATTTTTCTTTCCAAACTTCTACTTTCATGCTTCCTGGTCCTGTGTTTCAACTTTCAGTCCCCTGTATTTCTTCTTATCGCGGAAGTCATCAACCATCTGCATTCTTCTTCTTCCCATTCCTTTCAGTCCTTCTATTTTACCTTTGACTACGTCTTGTAGAAGGCATTTTTTTCTGCAGAATGGGTCCGATTCAGTTTCCTTTTCTTTTCAGGATTGTGCTCAGTAGAGTTCTTTCTTCGCACACTCTTCTCAGGACTTCCTCATTTGTTATCTTGTAAATATATACATATATATATATATATATATATATATATATATATATATATATATATATTCATATATATATTCATATATATATATTCATACTATCATAAATAATATATGGAACACAAATATTGAAAATATGTGTTAATATTATATATAAAACATTTGTAAGTACATTTTGTAATTATTTTATACATAATAAAAGTACTTAATATTTGATTAAATCAATTATAGAGTCAAAACAAGAAAAATCCATTGTTTTAACTTGTTTAAACCGCCCATCATTGTTTGCTATTGCTACTAAAAACAAATATTTATGATTGATTATTATACACAATCATTCCTTTGTCAATAAGTGGTGACAATAGCAGTTATTTATAATTTAAATTTAAATTGCCCTTAAATGTTCTATCGATGAAATACTTTTTGTTTTTAATTAATAGTTAATTTATTTGAATTCCGATTCTAAAAAATATCAGAATCGCAATCACAAATGAAAGAAGAGACATAAAAAAACACAGAACAAACATGATTTGTTTGGTAAAAGAAATATTTATGATCGTGCATTTTAAGAATTTAATAATAATAAATAATCCCTGTAAAGCCAACCCATTAGAATAAAAAAATCAATAGCCGTATTATATATATATTCACACTGAAGTTGAACCGAAAAAAGACTCGAAAGTATGCAGGATTTGTATATTTATTCATTTACAAAAAATTAAACCTAAATAGTCTTATTTTATTCAAAATGGCAAATGTAAGGCAAAATCAATAGGTTAATGCAATTATATTAAAATTATTGATAGTATTGCAATCTATACTTATCAATATATAAAACAGTTATCATATTTTCACATAAAATGCCAAAAATGTGTGTACAGAACCTTAAACAAATATAAGTATTTAGGCAACTAGAACTGAACCATCAATTAAATGTATGGCATATTTCTATAAAAGAAAAACCAGATACTCGATCAATCAATCAATCAATCAATTCAACCATAAGAAATATAATATATTTCTGGAAGATAATTGTTCACCAAACACCATTTCATCTAAAATTTAACATAAACAAAAAAGGCCATAAATGTTCAACATATACATATACACCTCCGAGAACACAAATTCGATTCACATAAATTCAAACAATAGTATAAAATAAATTATTTTTAAAAATAGTTGCCTTATCAAATTTGGTAATTATGTACAATTTTATGTAACCATAGATAAAATATTTTTTCTCATTTAATCTGTCTTCACTCCTAAATCCGCATATATATCTTCTGTTGCCATAAACACTCCATTACTCACTTGACTGGATAAAGTCGTAGATGTAACTGAACGCAGATCATTCGACAACTCCTGCGATGTAGTTCTTGAATTTCTGTTCTGTAACTGCATTTGATATATTTTGGCTTCCCTTTCCAGCATTTTCGCCCGAACTAAGAACTCTTTATCAATACCTTCTCCATTCGATAAACGTCTATTGTACTCCTTGTTTAGCTCTAATTGTAAAACCCAGTAACGGTCACTCCAAGTATCTACAGATTTATTTGGGTACTCCAACTCGTTACTGGACGTGCGAATTAAGTTTTTGCCTCGGTATTTCTGAAGGATTGCTAAAACCCCGCGGTCAGTTACTCTTAAATCATTATCGTTGTTTAGAACTGTCATGGTAGAGGGATAGCTTCTAGGAAAAAGAAACAGAAAAAAACGCACAGGTTAATGGTTAATGGTTAATGCTTATGTTTGGAAAGAGTGCAAGAATAGTCTTCTAATTTTACTATTAACGAATAATTATGCATTATAGAGATGTGCCAAATGATTGATACCGCATACCACAGGCATAGGACAATGTAGAACCATCTAGTAAGTTATTCAATCTGCGTGCAATCTTTTCCCGCATGGCAACACTAGATGTTATAATTTTGATTTTTCTGGAAGCAGTATCAGAATTAGCAGGTTCAAGTTTGGCATTTGTGAAAGTCATGTGTGATTTTTTATTTTAGTGGAAGTGTTCAAATTGAATAAAATTCATTTATTTGTGTTGTGAAAATTTGCTTAGAAATTAGTGAAACTGAGAAATGGCTTTTCCCCGTTCAACATTTGTAAGTAATATCTTATGATTAACCTTGCTACTAAAGTGACATTTGTCACCTAATAAGACAGACAAATTTGGATAGTAACAAAATCCAAAATAGAACATGAATGTAAAGGATATCGATTGAGCCGTTTTCAGTATTGCATAGCAAAAAAGAATAAATCGAATATTTTGTAAATTTTTCATTTTCATTGTGCAAATGCACTGTTCTGCGATGTCGGCAATTTGCCAAATACTGTGAACTAAAATAAACGTAATACTGGCTATTTGATGATTTCCATGAAGATATTTATATAATTTGTTTTTTTTCAGATTTGATAGAATGTAAAATATAAACATTTAAAAATATTATACATTTTTAAACCGAGTAATTACGACATCTCATCCATTTATAAATTCGCTATTTACTATATTCTTATATGCAAATATTAATTTCTAACGTACATATTTTTAATTTGTTGACTGATATATTTAGAAATTTATTTTGCTGTATTCTAAATATATCTTATATTAGGTTTTACGTTTATTTTATTAATGCGCATGGTAAATAGTAGATTATATATTTTACGTTATTTTCGAATGTGGAAATATATTGGACAAATATTCAATTTTTGATATAATTCATTTGTGATATTTCCAGGCATGATAAGTCTTTCATTTAATTCTGGCATTCTAAAATCTACTTAAAGCTATTTGACAACTGTTGTTGATAATAAATGAAAACGAAAGTTAAAAATGAATTTTGAAGTATTCTTTGAACTAACTGCTCTTTTAACACATTTTTTTCATTTAGTGACATATCATTGTCTAACTTCTAATTTATATATATATATATATATATATATATATATATATATATTTGTGTGGGAGAAAGAGAGAGTAAAAAATATATGGAAGTATTAAATGTATAGAAAGTTGTTAATAGATAATATTAATTTCATCCTTGTAATTCATTTCAAATATATAATATTCCAAATTTTTCAATATATTATAAATAGGGAAAGTTGTAAATAGTTTTTATCAAATTGTTATTGCCGTGACTTTACTGTAAAATTAATTATCAACGGAACAAAATTAGATATAATTCTAGGCCACTATGCCATACCTTCATTGCCAATGCCAACTGGTGCGCTTTAGTTTTGCTTTATTTATTTGTTCTTTTTTGATATTTTTGTATTCTTTTATATCATTTTAAATAAATTAAAGTAACATACCGCATATAATGTTATGAAAAAGTGTGGCTTAACTAAGAAATAAATTACTTGGAACTAGGAATCAAATTTTGATAATTATTGTACCATTGCCAATTGAAAACGAACTCTTTGCTGATGATAAATCTGAGTAATTTATACAATCACGATTTGCGTAAAATGCTAAATATCTGCGCCTGCACTTTACACTTGTAAATTAGTTAATAAAACGAGAAATAATGTTTTTGCAATTTTTATAATGTACAGGAATACCCCGTTTAACGCGGGGGATACGTTCCATCAAAGTAGAGCGCAATGCGAAACGGCGCTAAACGAGGCTATTTTTTATGGAAATATTGGGTTTAGGCATAGGGGTTAGGGGAAGACGGCTAGTAGACGGCCAATTGGTTCGGTATTGAATTTAAAAAGTATGTTTATTTTTTACTAAAAATAAAACCAAACATTTATTTCTTTAAGCCTAAATTAATACCACATTATTATTTCTTGTAAAAAATAAAAACAAAATATAAATAACAAAACGAATATTCTTGAAAAAAAAATCTAAGTCAGTTATATTTAGTAAGCCTTCCGCGTTTTCAGTGTTTTGCCTTTTTGTGCGTTGTTCTCTTAAAAGTTCTTCATAAACGGATAGAGCATCTCTAACACCACGCCTTACTTTTGAGCTCCTATCAAATTCGGATCATTTTCAATGATTTGATCAATTATTTAAGTTATGGTAGACAAACTCCTTTTTAGAAACACCATCGAAAGTTCTTTTTGCTCTTCCCCTAAATCACTGCTGTCAACATATTTATTTCCTTCTTGTTGATTCTTTGAGCTCACCATTAGAAAGACTGCGCTGCTTCTTGAATTATTTCTTTGCCATCTTCCTCATTTATAGACGAGTAGAACTCCAATTATCCGAACTTCGACTATCCGAACTCCAATTATCCGAACTCCGACAATCCGAATCGCCGATTATCCGAATCACTTTCAGAAAAAAAATTGTCCAAAAAAAGTCTAAGTGCGCTATTATTCTTCCACCAGCAAAGCCAGTGTAGGCACATTGTTTGTTTTGATTTGACGGAGATGTTTACAAAACAATGATTTTTATTTCTAAACTTGTACTTTTTTTTTAATTCGTTTAAGTACATTTTATTTATATTTAAAACATGTGAAAATGTCATGTTTCTTTCATTTAATTCAATAAAAAAATAGTGCAATATCAAAACGTAACTTTTTTTCTCTCCATTGGCAATTTTTAAAAAAAACTCCGATTATCCGAATATTTGATTATCCGAATGGGTCCCGGTTCCCATTAATTCGGATAATTGGAGTTCTACTGTATTGAGTTTTCTATTATTGTATTTGCATTTCGAGGACTGAAGGATTGTACAAATTTAAATTTATAATTATATCGAATTACGTCACTAGCAAAATCATTTTTTCGGCAATTCCTTATATATTTTGCTTGTGTTAGAATTATATATACCAAAAAAATGTTTTCATACATGTTGATACTATTTCGTTTTATGGAATTTATCGAATCTAGTCTATGCATAGCTTACAAATAAAATAAATCAGTTGTATGATTGTTTAAATTAAATTGGATTAGAAATTAGAAATTAGAAACTTTACTAAGAAGCAATATTACATTTTGTGTCAAATTTTTACGTGTACCCATTTTTACGTGCTTACTTATGTATGCGTGTACCAAATTCAAATTCGATTTATTTATTAACTCCTGATGATATATTCACCCGTACTCTTCTTTTATCTATATGTTCTACTCTTTGACTATTATTGCCTAGGTTGCACTCTATGGGTGCATTCGACTTGGACGCTTACGCGCTGTGAGCGCTCACGCTTATAAGCACGAATTTTTAGCGTTCGACTTGGCCGATAAGCGCTCAGAATCGATAACTAAATTCCGTTCGTTTTGGATACTGTGAGCGTCAATAAGCATCAAAATGGCGGCAACTGGCGGTAACGATAATTGTGTAAATTTTATTACTTTCTGGATCATTCAGCGGGATTATAAAGAATTTAACAATTAATGAATAAATGAAATTTGGTTAGCTTATGCTTAATTAATAGTAATATTAAAATTAAAATTTAAAATTATTTAAAATTAATTGAATTTAAAATTAATTAATATTAATATTAATATTAAAAAATAAATGTGATATACAACTTGGCATTTTTGCGGGATTATAAAGAATTTAACAATTAATAAATAAATGAAATTTGGTTAGCTTATGCTTAATTAATAGTAATATTAAAATTGAAATTTAAAATTATTTAAAATTAATTAAATTTAAAATTAATTAATATCAATATTAATATTAAAAAATAATTGTGATCTACAGCTTGCCATTTTTGCGGAATTATAAAGAATTTGACAATTAATAAATAAATGAAATGACAGATAGTAAAAACAACTGACGCTCACGCTCACGCTGCCCTACCTCTGTGGCGTGAGCATATTTGAGCGCAAAATATGTGCTACGAGCATCCTACGATGATGCTACGAGCGTGCTTATGTGACACTCAAAGCGCCAAGTCGAACGATGAAAGCGCGCTCACGGCGTGCTCACAGCGCGTAAGCGTCCAAGTCGAACGCACCCTATGTTGACCATGTTGACAGGTTTCATATTACATTGATGTTTTTGTTTATTTCATTTCGTTTGTCACAGTTGATTTTTGCTTGTTAAATTTTAATAAAGTGTAATATAATCTTAAAGTAATCATTTTTCATGCTGGTTTGTGTACTGTTTTTTATCAAGTCAAATATCTACTTAATTTAACGTTTTTGAGAATTTGTTGTCTGTTTCATAACATTGTTGTTCATAACCTCAAATTGCAATCATGTTCATCCATTTAGTATAATTTGCATGTGGTTTTACATTTTTGTAGTTATTTAGCAGCATACAAGTGTGAAATAATCATTACTTTGATACTAAATACTTGTCATGAATCATCTTTTACTTACTGTAAGCATTACCTTCCTAACTCTAAACGATTATTTTCAGAGTTTGTGCTCGGGTATTCTATAGCAGCATGCAAATCCATAAAATTAACACAAATGTACCCAAAGCTTCTAGTTCGTCGCTCATCATAAATGAACGTTAAAGTTTTTATTATTAGAAACATTGGTGAGAGTTTTGCTTGACTAATCCAATTACAAAGACAGGTAAAAGCACAATTTTAATATTTCAATAATGAAATATATAATAAATTAAGAAAAATTAGTTTATAAGTTCATTATTTATAAGTTGATGTTAATTACATTTAACTTGAAATAAAATGCTTTTAATAAATTTCAATAAATCAATTAATGGTATATTAATCAATGTCAATTTATCAATATCATCCTTTGAATAGTGGCAGAGTTGTACTTTGTTTGTCTTTTATTAGTTTCGTCCTTCATAAAAAAAAATTAGGATGCTTGTGTATACAATATAAATGTTGTTGACGAGTTATAAAATGGGTAAAGTAGTTTTCATCTTTTTCTACAATATTCATTAATGTAGTACATTTTTATTAGGTGATCAGATATACCGTACAATAAGATTTTGCATGTAATCAAAAAGATAATCTTTATTAGAATATAGACATGTATGCGATATAATCAATACATATATGCAAAAATTAATTTTAACTTTAGACTGAACACTTATTTTTTATAGCTCGCTTTATCAGGACTGATTTTAAGTTTTTTTTGTTTATTGCTATGCCAATTGCAACTATTACTAACGTGCTGCCTTGCATATGGAAATAATTATTTAATTTTAAGTTAAAAAACATTCAATTCCATTTCATTCAAAACCTGCTGTATTAGAAAAATGTCACTGTGATAATATAAATGATTACCAGACTTCCAGAAGTCATACACTGTTTTGCGTTTTGCCACTGAAATGCGTTTCTGTTCTGATTTACAGAGTGGGTACCCATTTGATGATGACATCATAGAAGACGATCCATTTGGTGGAACAGGTTTTCGTTCAACACTAGATTCATTGGCAGCTCGACATCCCGAACTCGCCGACCACTTTCAAAGTCGCATTCGACCTGGTGCTCAAAACTCTTGGGGCCCGCATCGGAAAAGGAGGGGATCTGGAACATTAGGGGGAAGCCACCCCAGTGGATCTACTGAAAAACCTGCTCAATCACATCACTATCAAGGATTTCCATTTGATGATTTTCCAAGTGAATTCAGACAGCATATACCAGAAGATTTCGGTTATTTTAGTGGTGGGTTACAAAAATCTCTTAAGACCTAAAATAGCACCAATTTCAAATGTGACCATGTAACTCATTTAAAATCCAAACCACAATTAATTTATTTTGTTTTTTTTTTAATCTTTTTAGAGAACTTGAATGAACCATTCTCTTCAACCACTAATTATTTACAAGAAGCAACAATAAGTAAAAGATGTAGAAAACTTTTTGAATTTTTAAAATACTTCAATAATATATTTGCCTGCAGCATAGTGTTTTTATTGATAAAGAATAAATGAAACAATCATTGCTAAGATCAAATACATATTCTGCAAAAATGTAGCAAATCGCTTAATAAAAAAGGATTAAATTATCATTATATTAGTTTTTGCATTTAAAAAACTATCCAATGAGCATTGTTTTTTTTTTTTTCTTCTACTTACATTACGAAAATGAGTCAGACATGTTTTGTCATACAGCTCTGATCCACAAACTTTTCAATTTTATCCTACATTGCACGAAAACAGTGCACAGAAATAATGACACAATTGATATTAAAATTATGTATACCTTAGCGACAAATGAATTAAAAGTGAAAATTTGTGTCATTTTTTATTGAAAATTCGACGCTCTGCAAAATTTTTGAAAATTTTTTCATGCTATTTCCATGCAAAACTTTAATTGAATTGCGCTCTGTCTAAAAGGCAATATTAAGAGCTAAAACTTTCAGAGAATTGTTTTATCAATTTGGAACCATTTGAGCTCTTGGGAGTAAGGAAATTCGAAAATATTCATATTAAGGACCACCTTATATATATATATATATATATATATATATATATATATATATCCAAAAGATTTATCATATCCATAGTTTTGCTTAAAATTTGTGCAGGATAATTTATTATTGTAGTATTTTGAAAATTTTTAAAGTATTTTACACGTTTTACTTCTTACATGAAAGTTGAGATTTTCTCCCAATTGCATATTAAAATTTCTATAGTCCTTAATTCATATTGTACTGCCTATCACATTATAATAAGCAATATTGAGACATATCTCAATTTGGTTGCTATTTATTAAATTTAATTATGAATTTAACATATATGAATATTTATTTTAAATAAATCTGTAAATATGTTTCTTGATAAACTTAAAATTGTGTATTTTTTATTATAGGACCAACTGCGCCTGAAAAATTTTTTCTTCAAACCCCTCAAGACATACCTGTCAAAGTGGATGTGGTACGAGGTTCTGCAGAGCAACAATTAGAACAACCTGATAAAAAGGATTTTTCTACACAGACCGACGAGTCACTATTTGATCAAACTAAAACTGATCATCCTAGTAGTTCTGAAGCCAAACCACTTAGTCAATACGGGTTGCGCAATACTGTGGACTTGGGTCAAAAGTGTGAGTTAAGTGCAAAAGAGGAGGCAAATAGAGGCACTAGATCGATGTCAGCTCCTCCAGAAGATAGCCGGATGCGCAATCCACCTTCCGCAATGGGTCAATCCGCCAGTGGACATTCAACAAACGAGCCCAAACCAAACCAACAGTTTCCAAATACTTCTAGTTCGTCTAATGAACAGCAGCCTCATGTTAGACACATCCCCATTTTTGTTGAAGGTAGAGATGAACCCGTAGTCAATACAAATTTATCCAATCAACAATTTGTACATCAAGAAACAGCTGCACCTTCTACGTCGCAAAAACCTAAAGCATCTGCGCATGGCCCAATATTTAATGCTGCACAAAAATTAACAGATCCAACTAAACAAAAAAGTGATTCAGTTCCAGGCATTGCAAAGCCTCAGCAACCACCTCCGGTGGTTGATCCTATAACAAAAATACAAAACATCCAGAAGGATGTTCTGGAACTTATGTCACAAGTGGAAACATTTTTTGGAGCTCGTCAAGACAAACAGTACATATTTTTAGACGAGATGCTCACCAGAAATCTCTTGAAATTGGATGATGTAGACACAGAAGGAAAAGAAAACATAAGACAAGCTCGAAAGGAGGCGATAAAATGTATCCAGAAATGCATATCTGTTCTGGAAGCAAAAGCTGATGCCCATGTAGAAAAAGTAGAAACTTCAACAGATAATGCGGATGTTGTACAAAAGAATGCTGAAAACTCTGAATCAACACCACAGGATTCTAAAGAAGGAAATGAACTGAGTAATACTACAATAAACTCTGATCAAAAGTCAGAAACCGAGAAAAATGAAACATCAGACTCAAATGATGAAAGTAAAAAGAATGGACAGAATACCTCAGAGAACCAAAGTGTTAATGCTGATACCAAACCAGCGACAGAGCCTATATGTAAATCATAATTTAGCTCGAAAGAATATATTTTAGATAAAGATATTTACTTATATTACTTAATATATATTTGATATAGATAGATTTTTAATTCATAGTGTGAGAACATTTCAACAATTTACCAATTTAAAGCGCATATTTATAGAAATTTAATGAGCTTATTTTGTAAATATAACAATAAAATTTTTAGAGAACCAATTCTCACATCTAGTTTTATATAGCTTTTGTTGCCATGATATTCGAGTATTGCACTGAAGATGGGATAAATTTCCCATGTTTTTATTTGAGGTCGTTATTTGAATGTTCAGGTCTACAATTTAACATTGATCATAGCATTATCGTGTGTCACTAAACTTTTCAAAATTTGCATAGATAAATTTTTTGCTTGTAAATATAACATACATTTTTTTTTAGAAAGTTCTGTAATTTAGAAAACCAACTGAGATGAAATGATCTCGAAGCCACTGACAATGCTATAAGTAATTTTTGTTTAATATATTGCTTTTGAAATATACATACATATATATATATATATATATATATATATATATATACCGTGTGTGTGCGCGTGCGTGTGCGTGTAATTATCTATTTCTATATATATATACATATTTATTGCTATAAATGTGTGCTATCATTTCTCAGTTTAGAGGGAAAGTAATAAAAAATAATAAGAATAAATCAAAGAAAATTTTAAATAATTTCGGACGGACAAACCTTTCTCTGTACTGTATTTGATATGTAGCCACACATCATAAATTTTATGGATAAGTGAAGATATATATATATATATATATATATATATATATATATATATATGTGTGTGTATGTATATATATATATATATATATGTATATATATGTATATATATATATATACACACACAAACACACGCACGCATATATACATAATTGATGTATATTAAATCTGATTTGGACCTATTCTGTTTCGATTTCATTGACAAAACAGAAAATTACATTTACTATAAACAAAAATGCATTGTTTCATTCACAAATCGGATGATGTCTGACATTACAACTGTATACATGATACAACAATATTAAACAATAGCTAAGAGCCTAAATTACAGCAACTTTGGAGACTTGATGAGAGTATTTATCTTCTTTGGCAGTAAAACGATAAATGATTAATACATCAGCTGGTATCACGTTTATTTGAACTAATAAAGTTAGATTTTCAACGGTAGTAGTTCAGAACTAATGCAATTTATAAAACAAGTCATTACACCCATAATTTCACTAATTATATCATATTCAAAAAAATTAAGACAATATAACTGAAGCTTGATAAAAATCTAAAATTTGTTAGTTGAATTATACTGCCAATTCGACTTCCAAAAGATTGCGGCAAACATTTGACCGCTTAATACTAAGGGAACAGTCGCGTTCGTTATTTAAAACGATTTTTTAAATGGAGATCGAATATGTTTTCTTTATTTAATCTACTAAGTACGGTCGCTTATCAATCAATTTTGTTTATTTAAAATGATTTGATCAAGTGAACAGTCGTACATCAATCAATTTTCAAAACGATTTGATCTATTAGGAGAACGGTCACATATCAATCAATTTTGTTTATTTCAAAAGACTTAAACTATCAGGAGAACAAACGCATATAGTTCTTAAAAATGTAAAAGACGGATTTTAAAGATAATCAATGTTAGCGGAATTCTTTGCATTACAACAACGCATAGACATTCTTAGTCTACTAAAAATATTTCTGGTTATTTAAAGTTATTATAGTAATCGCAAAAAAAAAACGAAACTCAAAATTTTTGCATTAAGTTTCAAGACTTTCTGAACGTTTTAGCCATACTTGTTGTTGTTATTGTCGTTTATCTATGGTTTTAGCATACCTTAGAAAAAAAAATGGTTTTGTGTATGTGTGTGTGTGTGTATGTATCCCAAAGTTTTCAAATTAATCGTATTTTTTTTTTAATTTTAAAATTCTTAAACGCAATTTTTTCAAATTTCGGTAAGAAAGTTTCCGCACGATGTCGTGTGCACCAATATATATATATATATATATATATATATATATATATATATATATATATATATATATATATATATATATATATATATATATATATATATATATATATATACTAGCAAACCCGACGAACTTCGTTTCGCCACCAGATGGTTTCGTGAGAAAGATGAAGAAATTTTTTGTTTGTTTTATATTTGAAAAGGAAAAATTTGATTTTATTATACAACAGTAATGAATTTATTTCGATTAAAAAATGAAGTGTTTTTTAGTTGAACTTCTCTAAGTAAATGAAAGTGAATTCGCAAATTATCCGTTTCATTGAAGTGCTCTTTCGTAAACCACATTTTCTGTTTTTTGGTCTGACGTTAACACAAACAAAGCGGATGGTTTTCCAACTCGTGAACAGGCAACGTATAACTTTAGACCCATTTAGACCTTTCCAACGAATGCAAAATTGTCGAAATCGGTTTGTGCATCAGGAAGTAAAACCCGACTTATTTTTATATATACGTAGATAATCTATTTGAAATTATTTCAAACAATTGTTGATTATTTTTATTACTCGAATTTTTAATTACGGTGCGTGAAGTTCCAGCAGCTTGCATTAAGGCATGATCCATGCACAACTAATTTTCTTATAAGAAAATTAGTTGTGCATGGCATCAGCTATAGCTATAAACCTTGCGGAGCCCGAGACATTTCCAACGAATGCAAAATTGTCGAAATCGGTTCGTGCGTTCTGGAGTTATTTCGTCAGAAAGAAAAACCCGACTTATTTTTATATATATAGAAGATAATCTATTTGAAATTATTTAAAACAGTTATTGATTATTTTTATTACTCGAATTTTTAATTACGGTGCGTAAAGTTCCAGCAGCTTGCATTAAGGCACGATGCCATGCACAACTAATTTTCTTAGCTATAAACCCTGCGGAGCCCGAGACCTTTCCAACGAATGCAAAATTGTCGAAATCGGTTTGTGCGTTCTGGAGTTATTTCGTCAGGAAGGAAAACCCGACTTATTTTTATATATATAGAAGATATATATATATATATATATATATATATATATATATATATATTGTTTAAATCTAAATTAGTTATATTATATTGAATAAGTAATGCAGATTTACTCATTATATAATATTAAGCTTAAGTTTTTTCTGTATCTTTCGAAAATGTATTTATATTCCGCTTCCTTTTCTTTCCTTATATTCGGAATGACGACCCACGAGCCAAGTGATCCACCGTTCATGGTGATTTTATATATTTTAGACATGTTTCAATCGTAATTCACTCGAAATCGGTTCTAACTATAAAATTCGAAATTAGTCTAATAAAATGTATAAGAATTAGAAAAAAAAAAATTCATCAGATTAAACAATAAAGAACATATGAATAATGTTATGCATATTATATACAAATATTGAAATTAGTCATTAATCCGTTTCCTTGCATACGGAGATAAAGATAAGGACCACATTATATTGTCTAGGATAAGGACCCTAGACAATATAATCAGGACTACATTACATATTGTTATATTGTTTTGAGCGCATAATATATTTGATAGTCAACTTCTTGAAATTAGTCAAGATGTCGACTTCTGTGCCGTTTGTGCACAACCCTAGCTCCACAGGTTTACCAACATCAGGGATCAAATATGTGACAAATCAACCAATCGATCTCTAGGCAACCCACCTAAACATAAACGTGCATAACCTTTCATTTTTTCAAAAAAAAAAAAATATATATTCATTTGTCAAATAGTCTTCTGGAATATTTTTAAAATTACAGGTTCAACTATTTTTTTATACATAATTCAGTTTTCGATCTTTTTCTCTTTTTCTCTTTTTCTTTATTCTAAATATAGAATAAGAAAATAAATATCTTTTAAAACTGGCTGGCTTACGCATATTGAGGTAAACATTGCGTTTTCTGTGAAAGCAGCCTAAAAGAATTATATCAGAGAGCAGATCAACGTTATATTGTTTTCTATTTACTTTTATTCATTTCAGGTATAGGATATGAAAAGAAATAAAAAGTTTTAAAACAAATGGAATACAATTTGTAAACCTAAATCTATAAATACTAATATGAAGTTTACATAATTTAAATCAAATTTTAATTTTGGAGAATATATTAATGGTGTTTGAATTTGATGTAACACGTTTGCAAATTAATGGTTTTGCACTTTCGGTAACCAGTGACAAATTTATCATAAGGAAAAAGTTACAGCTTTAAACTTTATCAGAAATGCCTCCTCTAACACGACTGCAACGATATGCACTGGCTGGATTGGGTGCAGCTGGTGGGATTGCATATTATATATATGTTCGACAAAACAAAAAGAAAGTTCTTGCATCATGGACAACTAATTACTCTCCACCAAATTTTGCCAAATGGGATTATAATTGGGACCAGTAAGCAAATGTCTAAATATAATTATATAACTTACCATTATTTATTAAATTAATATTCACATTAGCCGAGAACCAAAGTCTCTAGTGAAACCTCTTGGCAATAAAATATCACCGGAAGATGAGAATAAATACAATGAGGAATTAGTACTAGCTAAGCCTACAGCAGTAAGACATTTATTTTTAATAAGACATGGTCAATATAATTTGAAAGGAAAATCGGATAGTGAACGAAGACTTACTGAACTTGGTATATTTGACACTATATTTTTTATATGGAAATATTATATTAAATCATTTATTAATTTGGAACAATTTTTAATAAAATCAATTTGACATAATTTATTGCATGTAATATAATTTATGTTTTTATAATAAGCATGCAAGGTCATTGTATATTAGCTTTTTATTTTTGCCGTTATTTTAGTATTTTAACATCAAATTGCAGTAAAATATTTGAATTTCAGAGTTTGTACAAATTTGAGTATGTTTTTTCTATTAATGTTTTCAAGTTATCTTTATTAATAAATATGATAGCTTTTCATTATTAAATATATATACATATATCGGGTCGATTTGTAGGTGGCAACAAAATTGCTCGCAAAGGCATATATGATTTTCGGATTCTAGGAATCAAAATAAGAAACTTTGCTCAAGGAAACATACCTCGAAAATGAATTCTGATGGCCCATAAATTGATCAAAAAGTTTAAATTTTGAAAAATTCCGTTTTGACCCATTTAGAGTGGGTTGAGTGGGCTCAAATGGTTCCAAATTTATAAAAATCAATTGTCTGAAAGTTGTAGCTCTTAATATTGTCTTTTAGATAGAGCACAATTCAATCAAAATTTTGTATGGAAATAGCATGAAAAAATGTTCTAACATTTTGCAGAGCATCAAATTTTCAATAAAAAATGACACAAATTTTCACTTTTATTCATTTGTCGCTAATTTAGACCTAAAAAAATTTTTTTTTCAAGTTTCAACATTTTTTCCATGCTATTTCCATACAAAGTTTGATTGAATTGCGCACTATCTAAAAGTTAATACTAAGAGCTAAAACTTTCAGAGAATTGTTTTTTAACAATTTAGAAGCATTTGAGCCCTTGGGAGCAAGGAAATTCGAAAATGTCCATATTAAGGACTACCCTAATATATATATATATATATATATATATATATATATATATATATATTTTGTAGAGTTTCGAACAAGAATCCAAAAATAATACAAAATAAAAAACAAGAAAAGTTTTTAAAAAAACAATTTCTTTATTTAATTATTTGTTTATTGTCGACGTTTCGGAACTAGGTACGTTCCATCTTCAGGACATCTGTCAAGAAACATGATCTTGATGAGATTTTTGCAAACAATATGTTTAGGAAAAGAAAATAGATTTTTTTTTTTTTTTTTTTTTTTTTTTTTTTTTTTTTTTTTTTAAATAATGAATTAAATTGTAAAAAATATAATAATGTACAGAAATATGATAATATGTTCAAAATAAAAATGATAAAAATAAATGAGTGGATTATCAAAACAGGATATTAAACATAATAGAAAATTTTTTTGAAAGTTATGGAAATTTTTTAAGAAAAGGTTAATGACAAAGTTAAGAAAGTTGCATCTTTAGAAGGTTATTCGCGGAGAGTTGTCTCATCCTCATAAACGTTTCTAACAGTGTCAACATTAGATCAGATCACAACCTATTACATGATTCATATTTAAATTTTTTACACTTTTTGACAAACAATTAATATCGACTTCCTTTTAAGATCAACAATTTAAGTATTCACACCCTGACATATAAAAACACACACATACAATCTCACATCTCTCGTTCAAGTGTTTACACGTGTTACAAAGGGCACACCAGTTTCATTTAGTTAATTTTCGTAAACCAATCGAACAACATCCAGAGAACAATATTATTTGTGTTTTCAAATAATAATTTTAAAAAAGACAAAGTTTTTTAGTAATTTTGATTTACAAAATCTAATTATTCGGTGGAAAATTAACTCACAAAATCATTTTTGTTAAAAAAGCTTGTTTAGTGAAAAAGTGCTAACAAATATTCAAACATACAGGTAATTAATTCAACTTTGTCATTAACCTTTTCTTAAAAAATTTCCATAACTTTCAAAAAAATTTTCTATTATGTTTAATATCCTGTTTTGATAATCCACTCATTTATTTTTATCATTTTTATTTTGAACATATTATCATATTTCTGTACATTATTATATTTTTTACAATTTAATTCATTAAAAAAAAAAAAAAAAAAAAAAAAAAAAATCTATTTTTTTTTCCTAAACATATTGTTTGCAAAAATCTCATCAAGATCATGTTTCTTGACAGATGTCCTGAAGATGGAACGTACCTAGTTCCGAAACGTCGACAATAAACAAATAATTAAATAAAGAAATTGTTTTTTTAAAAACTTTTCTTGTTTTTTATTTTGTATTATTTTTGGATTCTTGTTCGAAACTCTACAAAATATACACAAATCCAAGACTCTACCATTCAATATATATATATATATATATATATATATATATATATATATATATATATATATGTGTGTGTGTGTATATGTATACTTTATGTGAATGCACATGTATTTCTTAATTATTATTGTAACCCTTAGGTGAAATGCAAGCAAAATGGACTGGCAAGCGTCTTAAGGAGTTGAAGTATCCCTGGACATCAATGGTGGTCTCAACATTAACGAGAGCTCAACAAACTGGACACTTAATATTAGAAGCAATGACTGAGAGCAAACCCATGTTGGTAGAGCATTGTCCATTACTTGTGGAAGGTGCACCTATCCCTCCAGAGCCTGCAATTGGTCACTGGAGACCTGAGGCTACAGTGAGATAAATTCATTCTTATCAATTTTAGTTATTTTTATTATAAGAGTAATGTAATTGTATTTATTACGTTACTACAAAATTATAAATTAATCTTTATGGTTCCTTGTGCATAGAAGAGAAAATGGACTTTCAAATAAAGAATAATATTTAATAGTATGAATGAATTCAAATATTAAAGCTTTAATGATTTGCATCTTTAATATAAAAAAAATAGATTTTCAAGTTGAATTAAATTTTTTTTTCTTAAAGGGAAAGTTTGTTGCCAGTTCCCTAATTTTATGTTTTCATTATATTGTATGGCGTATTTGATTTAAAATTTAACTTTTTGTTAATATTTTCTCAAAATGGTTGCAACAATTTTAAATATTTTAAGGAAATTTTTTGTAATTTTGCAAGGACTTAATAAGGATTTTGGAAATTTAAAAACTTGACACATATCAGTTAGAAATCGTGGTGATTAGTTTTTGATAAATATCTGCCATCTAATTATTTATTAAAATATTCCATATCCATTATATTTCACTTGAATTCCTAACATGCCCCTTTTTATTTTTAAATAGCAGTTTTATCAAGATGGCGCAAGAATTGAAGCTGGTTTTAGAAAATATTTTCACCGAGCAGATCCTGATCAGAAGGAAGACAGTTACACAATGATTGTATGTCATGCCAATGTAATTCGTTATTTTGTGTGCAGGTATGTGCAATTTGCTTAAGTAATAAATCAAAAGAAAATTGAATACACATATTTTTTAAGTTATTATCTTACTTATATGTGTATAACTTGCATTTTGTAAAGGGCTCTGCAATTTCCTGCTGAAGCTTGGCTGAGACTTTCATTAAATCATGCATCTATTACTTGGATTAGTATACAGCCCAGTGGTAGAGTAATTCTACGAGTTTTTGGGGAATCAGGTCATATACCAGCAATACAAGTTACCAGTCAGTAAAATTTTAATAACATAAGATAATTTCAATTTATTTTTATTTGTTTTCTTGTAAATTTATATATTTTGTATCAAATATATGTTTATATACCTGCAAGTTGCTTTTGTATAGGATTCTTCAATTCTTAACTAATCTGTTGTCCTAACTCATTAAGCTTATTCCTTCAGGTTTATTAAGGACAATTAAAATATGTGCACTGATTATAGTTTGTTATTTGTGTGCAAAATTAAATTTTAAAATTAAATTAAATTTGTAAATTTTATTAAGCTTACCAGTTTCTCATAGAAATATCTTGATTGATACATTGTGTCATAAATACTTTTTCTATGAAATTTACTTTTTACGGTATGAGTCTATGTAAGTAAATTATTATTAGTTATTAGAATGTAAAATCAGTTATTATTATAGTTTAACAGTTTCATAAACAAATATTTCAAAAGTTTGTAGCATTTAATTTGGGATAATGTAGTATTAGCTGTAAGTATTATGAGTATCTTTTTCAACTACCAACCTAAACTACTAAATTTTTCAAAACATTTAAAATGTATAATTTGAATTTAATAGGGCATTACAAACTTTTATTTTAGTTTTTAATTTTAAAAGTAAATTTTGCTATTGGTGTGAAATGTTTATTTGTTTATGAATATATGTTTATCTTTATTTATATTATAACTCTGTACTTTTAACTTCCCGTAGGGTAAATTCTAGTAATCGCAAAAAAAATAAAATAAAATTTTATAATATCTTTCCCTTTCAAAGGTTTTTGAACATATGTGTGTGTATGTGCGGATACAATTTTTGTCGACGATTTCGAGAACACTGATCAACAGGTTTAAATGATTGACAAGGATGAGACGTGCTGATTAGTTTTTGGACAAGATACGCCGAAAAAAGTGCCGAAAATGGCAATTCAGTTGTTGAAAAAATGGGGCGTCTGAATTCAATGATTCCAAAACACATTTTACTTGTATTGACAAAGTGGAGAACGGGTTAAATTTTTGGGAAGGCAAAAAAATGCAATTTGGCGGTCAAAAATTATCATTACACATATGCACATCAAATTATCAGATATTTTATAGAGATTTTAGTGATGAGTACAAATTTTGTTTACAATTCGATGGGTTCCGTACCAATCTTTATCCGTTAGACTCGACTGCAACGTGGTGCTTAAGTCCTTATTTGTTCTCTAAAACGGCCACGCAACATGATCGCTTTGAAGAAAAATATGTAAAATGATATTACTATTTACTTCCTGGAGGAGAAGTTTATGTTTTCATAAATAAATCCGATTCGCTAATTTTATGTTTTCTCGACGTTTTAAGTCATTCTTAATCGAATGAGACCAAATTTGGTGAAACTATGTGTATAACTATGTGCCGTAAATCGACGTTTTTCAAAAACGACTGGACCAGTTTCAAAAATTTAAAAGCCAATCGATGTATTTTGATGTGGATTATCGTTTCTCAGTTTTGTGGGACGATCAGCTGAGCCGGTTCTTTGTAAATAGCAGAAAAGTGAAAAAAAATTCATACACGTTTTAGCTCTCAATTCTAAATCGATTTTAAAAAATCAAAAACTTTTTGAAAGATATTGGTTGGGAATGATACTGATTAGTTTCAGGTAAAAATCTACCGAGCCGTTTTCTTAAAATTAACCGTTAAAAAATATATGAAAAATAGATATCATGGTCTTATAAAACATATTAAAATGTTACGGCCTTACGACAAATAGTTTAATGTTAAATATTTATCAAAGTTTGAGAAAATATTATAGTCAAAATTTATGTCAAAAGTTGCTTTTGTAAAGTGCATTATCCATTATCCATTCATTAAAATTTAAAGTAACAAGCTACAATTTTACGACATACAAGCACCACGTGTCTGTGCAATATCATTAATATAATAAAGATAATTTAAATGTGTTTGAAAAAATTCTATTGGAAATCGCAATGTTTAGATTTATTTGAAAGCGATAACTTTATTTTTGAAATGAAAAGTTGAAAATTCTATCTAAATATCTAAATCTAAATTTTGATTGATTAAGTTTAATTCTTACACATTTCGGGAAGTTCATGCAACTTGCCTTAAGGGATCGTTCAAGTATTACGTAAGCAGATTTATTACAATTAAAATATATTTACCCCCCTCCCATCACCCTTGTCAGCAAAAGTAAGCAAACTTCTTACCCCCTACCCCCATGCTTACGTAAACATTTTGCAATTAATGTAAAAAAATAAAAATACTACCTATGACGTAATCATCATCCAGACTCTCCTGCACCCCATATCAACCCAAAATAAGCAAATCAACAACCCCCCGCCCCCCTATAGTGCTTACGTAATACTTGAACGGCCTCTAAGGCTAAATGCCACTTTCAACTAGTATTAGTCGTATTAGTAAAGTAGTATTAATAAAGTTATTTTGATAAGTTTTGAATAGGAGCTGATGTTTTATTGAACAGTAAATAATGTGAAACGTTATAACGTTTACAAATTATAATTTGTAAGTGCGCCAGGTTACGTCGTATTATTGTCTAATTGTAATTGTAAGTGCCAAGTTTTATTCCTGGCCTTATTTAATAAGGAAGATATGGCAAAAAATAATTTCTCGTAGGGTAAGTTATAGTAATCGCAAAAAAATCGAAAATAAAATTTTTTATATATCTTTACGTTTCAAAGGTTTCTGAACATTTTGGCATACCTTAGAAAAAATTGATGCATCTGTCTGTGTGTGTTTTGGAGATACGGGACAAAAAGTGCCACAAACGGTAACTTAGTTTTTAAGAGAACGGAGCGTCCGAATTTAATAATTCATTTTAACAAACATTTTACTCGTATTGGCAAGATGAAGAATTAATAAAATTGTCATGAAGGCAGGTCTAGCGGTTTCGGAAATCTAGTAAAAAAAGCCACTTGGCGGTCAAAAATGATCATTAAGGGGGTTGTTCTTTTTTTTTACAAAAAATGCAAGATATTTGTTTTTGTTTTTCTCGAAATGTATTTATCATAGAGACATGCGTTTTTTTTAAACAAAAATTACATAATCATAGAATATTACGAAATTTTCTTTTTTTTCGCTGTCATTTTTTAACCAGGGGCCGCCAAAGTCGGCCTTGCAAAATCGATCTCTTTTGCGGTGCCACAGATAAACCGTTGCTCATCGCCTGAAACAAAAAAAAAGAAACTACGTTGAAGAAAAAGTTTGAATCCAGTCCCCCTACCAAAATGAAAGAAAAAAAACAAGAAGGAAAAAAATGGCAGCTATTTAAAAAAAAGTGTCAAAAAGGCCTTTTTTTGGGGCGAGAAGCTTTGCAAAATTTTTTTGCGTAATGTTATCAAGTTGTTTGAGGTAGGGGGACTAGGTATTGCAGTGGTGAACAAATTAAAAAAAATGCAAGTCAATCCGACTTGTAGTTTTTTTTTAATTTGTGGCACCGCATTGAAAAAAGTCAATTTGAGAAAAAGGTATTTAAAGTTTTTAATATAATGTACTAAATACACCATTTATTTTAATGTACTAAATACACCATGGTGTTCAAAGATGCTGACACATTAAAAAGGTCATGTGCATGAGGTATTATAATGAAAAAGAGGGCAGCTGGCATACAATAGCTCGCGGAGCGATGAAAAAAGCGGTTTCAAAGGATCATACACATAGAGATATATATATCTATAACTTCGTCAAAAAAATAGATATTGAGATGATTTTTTTAAAAAATAATTCTAAGGTTTTTAGCTTTCATAATATCAAAAAATCTCAAAATTGAAAAAAAATAAATAATAACCGAACAACCCCCTTAAACATATGCACATAAAATTATCAGATACTTAGTACAAATTTTGTTTACATTCCTTGGAGTTCCGTACCAATGTTTATCCGTTAGACGGCGACGCGGTGTTTACGCGCTTCGATATTTTGTCTCTATGCAGTTAAAGCAGTACGATTGTTATGAAAAAAAGTTCAGAATTTCCAAAATATTTCAAGATAAAGAAAACATTTTTCTTCAAAAAGTCTTTTTTTTTCAAAAAAAGTAATTTTTTGTCAAAATAGTTTCTCAAAAATTCAAAGCAAATTTTTTTCAAAAATGTTAACCTTTTAAAAAAAAATATTTTTTGGTACGGGAAGTTCCAGCAATTTGCCTTAAGGCAAGCCATGCGCCCTACTTGAGTTTACCGTAGTTCACCTTTTACTACTTTTAGTCATTTTGTACATACTTATTGTACAAAAGCAGTGTCTCTATCTATCGGCATTTCATCAAATTTATTCCAATATCTGTTGACATTTCAACTGAGAGCTGTCAGGCTGTCAACAGTGTCAACATTCGTCGCCTGCGTTGAAAGCTGAAACATTTCTATTTTTATCTCGAATTGCACAAGCATTTATTTAGTAACTTTAATTAGTGTACAGTATTAGCAAACAAAATATGATGAACATTCAAAAAATCGTTAGGAGCTTAAACCGAGCTGGAGTTACAAGGTAAATAACAAGAAAAAATGTTAATTGGGAATGAAAAGAGGAAAAAGCGTTTAATCACGTTATTACACAACTCTGCTATCTCGTACTAATTTATTTAATGATATTAAAACCATATCTAATTGTTGCTACTTGAAATGTTTTAGTTGCTTATATTTGTTTGTTATTATGCCGGTACATATTACGCAATAATATTTAGATTGTGAAGAAAAACAGTGTTGGCGTGTTCTGTCTTGATGATTTGTACAAATTTTGATGTTCAACGTAAATTATTATATTAACTGCTATAAATAATACTTTAATTTAAATTATAGATCCTATTTATTTTCTGCATACTATGCAACTATTAGATAATATAAAACTGATATAAATATTTGCAAACTTGTTTGAATGCTTGTCAATATTTTCTTACCAACTTCATTATAATTATTTGCACATTTACAGGTAGGGATTGTGCTTGTATGATTTTATATATATATATATATATATATATATATATATATATATATATATATTATTATGATTATTAAATCCCCTACTTCATTCAATTTCAATACTGACGTTGTATATTCTGTTTCTTGCAACGACTGCTCTTTCCAATACATTGGACAAACCTCACAATATGTACAGGTACACAAAAGAATGAGGCAGCATGAATTAAGTGTAGTTCACCATAAACAAAAAAATTCTAAAGTATCCTGGTACAACACTCTGTGGAAAATGCTCACTCGTTTAACTTCACTCCAAAAATTTTATATCATGAAAATTGCATCTTTAAGTGGTTATTTGCGGCAAGTTGTCTTATACTTATGAACGCTTCTAATAGTGTTAACATTAGATTAGATCACAACCTGTTGCATGATTCTTATTTAAATTTTTCACACTTTCTGATATCTAATTAATATAGATATCCATTGAAGAATAATTTAAGTATAACATGCACACATATACAGACAGATTATAAATCAAGTGTTTTTCTTTTCAAAAAATCCATTGTTCAATAATCAGTTTGTCAAACAGTCATCCTATAACATCGAGGGAATAATACTTTTTGTCTCACTTAACAAACTCAAAAAAGACTTAATTCAAAGAAATTTTGAATTACAAAATTCGTTTCTTTGTCTGACAAGAAATTTATAAAATCAGTTTTTTTTTTGATAACTCTTTTTTAGTGAAAAAGTGTTAGCGTACAATCAATCATACAGGTAATTGTTTTTTTCAGTAAGGGGCCGTTCAAGTATTACGTAAGCACTATAGGGGGGCGGGGGGGTTACTGATTTGCTTATTTTGCCTATTTTTGTTAAGAAATTTGCTTACTTTTGATGACAAAGGGGAGGGGGGGGGGTAAATAATTGTAGTAAATCTGCTTACGTAATACTTGAACGATCCCTAACCTTTCTAATTTTTTTAAATTTTTAATATTTTGTTACATAATCCACTCATTTATTTTTATCATTTTCATTTTGATTACATTGTCATATTTTGTACATTATTTTTCCACAATTTTATTTATTTTTTATAAAAAATCCACCATCTTCTGCTTTTCTTGAACATATTGTTTGCTTAAATCTTATCAAATTCATGTTTCTTGACAGATGTCCTGAAGATGGAACATACCTAGTTCCAAAATGTAGACAGTAAATAAATAAAGAAATGGTTTTTTAAAAAACTTTTTGATTATTTGTTCAAAGCTCTACAAAATATTTACAAATCCAAGACTCTGCCATCTAATATATGTATATATATATATATGTTATATATATATATACATATAAATATATCTTGATAGTTTTTTCGACGTTGAAACATATTTCAAAGTAACTAGCAGCCCATTCGTCGAAATAAAAAAGGTATAAAGTATAAAAACTTTTATTTATACGTTTCGACACAAGATGCGTGTCATCATTCAGCAACACAGGACAAAAACACTCAACAAAAATTTATTTTAAAAATTAAACTTAATAACATATTAGAGAAAAACATTTTTTTAGAAAAAAATTATGAATAACTAAAAGATTTGAAAACTAATTTGACTAAAAGTTATGAAATGCATCATTGTGAAGCGAGAAACACGCCCATACCGAGCAACCATACTCGACTCATATATATATATATATATATATATATATATATATATATATATATATATATGCACACACACAAGATAAGACAAACTATGACATTATTTAAATCTAGTCTTTTTCTATTGGTGTGATATATGTACTTTCATTCTTAATATTTGTAATGTTATTAATTCAAATAATTATGGTGCATAAGAATGTCAACTGGACAGTATGGTGACGGTGCTGGCAAAGGAGGTGGTGGTGGTGGATCCATCCGTGAAGCAGGTGGATCTTTCGGCAGAATGGAAGCTGCTAGAGAAGAAGAATTCTTTTATAAACAGGTAATTATGATATAAATTTACAATAATACTATTATTCGTGCTTTTCATGTATTCGAAATTAGTTTTGTCAATTTTACCACATCTCATTATCAAAATGGTGTTTTAATTTGCACACTGTAAATTACAATAAACTTTTCAATTAATGATGAATGTGGTATTAAATTATATTTGCTTAAACATTGTGTATAAAATAATAAATTATATTCAATTTATTTTCTAAGCAACAAGCCCAATTGAAGAAACTTAAGGAACAAGCAATAGATCAGAAAACTTTCCATGAGGAACAATTAAAACTTCACAAGGAGGCTTTGGAGAGACATGAAAAACATTTGGCTGAGCTTAAGAAGTAAATTCAAGTTTCATATATAGCATTATGATAATGTTAGACAGTGATAAAAATTCAAATATTTGTTACTATTTACTGAATTAATAAACTTGCATTAAAGCTTCTATAAGTTATTAGTTTTCTAGCATTCTTAATACAACTCATTGTCACTACATATAGTTTTTAAATTCATGGTGCTATGCATGTATTGTACTAGATATTGTAAATAATACATAACTTTTTTTGTGAAATACTGTTATATTTCAATATGTACTCATTTCATGAAATTGCTTTAGTGCCTTCAGATCTTATATTAAGTTCATCTCAGATCAATCAAATGCGATAGTGTAAACTGGTATTGAATCAGGAGTATGTGTTGGTGGAACTTAAGTATGTAGAAATCCTAACATAGAATTTATAGGTGCTGGCTCTTAAAAGGACGAATATCATCTTTAAACCCATGTAAGTTTTTAAACTGTTTTATTTAAATATAATTGAGAATCTATGAACAGATAGGATCTTGTTGAGATTTTATTTTTATTCTTAATTTTACTTCTATTTTCAATAAGCTTTAAGTTTTTGATAACTGGTTGGTATAATTTTTATTGCAACAATAATTTATAATAGTAGTTTCAATAATTAATATAACAAAAACAAAACTGAAAGTTTATTTTGACTAGCCAAAACTATTTGTTTGGTGCAAGCTTCTGAGATAATTTAGTTATTGAAGTTTTTCATATATAGCATTTAGTCTATGCAGTAGTTTTCAAACTAAAGCTAGACTTTTTCCCATAGAGTAAGATTTTTTAAGCGAGAAATAATCACAAATAATTTTTTTGTCATTACATTCCAAAAAACTTTTGATTATTCTGGTTATAAACTTTTAGAACAGACGAATATGCGTATCTTTTGTGCAGAGCAATTGCTTTTTCGCAATGGAAATTTCGGACTTATGGCGAAGAAGTAGCCAAACTTACCATTTTTTTCTATTATTATCAAATTATAATATTTCTTATAAAGCATTACTGACTAACTTTTGCGTTCCGTGCCAGCCAATGTTAATTTTGTAAATACCAAATTCTAACTAAATATTTCAGACTAAAACTGTGAAACTTTCGAGTTTTAGAGAGAAAATAATATTATTGCATGAAGGCCTTATTTTTCGTCTGGTGAATAGTAATTTGATATTTTTAATGTTATACTACAAAAAATGCATTAGAACGGAGCTCCAAATCGTATAAAATCTTGGCATACTAACAAAGCAAAATTTTTGAACTACTTTGATACCTACGAGGAAGCGCTGTTAGAACAATTCACTTATAATCAAAGTGAAGAAGAAGAAGATGTAGAAACATTTTAAAATTATAACAACGACGAATAAATTTAGCTGCTATGTTATATTTACTACTTTCACCTTTTACCAACCCAAATTCACAAATATTATTTTGCAATAGTTGCGAAACAAACAAAATCACAACAGCATACTGGGAAAAAAATGCACAAAGCACACTACCTCGTAGGCGTTTAAACGTACTTTTCAAAATAATATATCTTTAAAACGGTGGCTCTGAGGAAAAAAAGTATTGATGCATTTTTTGTAGATAATTTTATGATCTACAAAATTGTCTCATATAATTTTGCGATAAAATTGACCATTTAGCAGAAAATCGTTAAATCCATTTTTTTAACCTTTGACCTTGTGCCATTTTTTAGCTCGCATCGGAACGATGAGGACTTTTGAGATTTCTCTTATAATTGTATTTTAAACAATTTTGCCAAGATACAGCCCATTATGAATTATTGTAACTTTCACCCTGATTTTAGGTTAAAATTGATCGGGCTATAAGTTTAGTACAATATTTTATACATTTTTTGAACAGTATTAAATATTATAATTGTGGAAAAATGTGATTAACCATTTGCGCCCTTCTGAGGCACTCGGCAGATGAGCAACGCGAGGCCCGCTGTCTTTAATGAAGGGCGTTAAATATTTTTCTGCGGCCCAAGAATAAAGTAGTATTTTATTTATTTTATCAATATTCTTCTATCAATAAAAAATAATTATATTGTATTATTTTCTTTTTGCCTTAATTTATGTTTACATTTTTTATTCAGTATTTCTTTATTATGATATTCATTAGTATAAATCAAGCTTTTTGTAATTTTTTTATGAATGGTTTGCCATAAAATTTTAAGAATTAAATACTATCCGTGAATTAAAAAGATTGCTTACTCTTAGAATAAATTTATGTTGTCTCTGCAAAATTTAGTATTAGTTATTTTTAAGGTCTATTTTATTCGTAAATTTATCAAAAAAGTGATGGATATATAAAAAACGATATATTTTATTACGAAGTACAGCAGGTACGTTTTTGTCAGAATACTGCGCCGAGATGCTGGTAAATTGTATTTGAATCGGCGCCGAAAAAAGTTTATTTATCTGCTATTAGTCGCATTATAATTATTTATTGTTTGTATTATATTTATTTAAAAAAAATATAATTAATTATAATATATGTGTAGGGAAAATATAGACAAAATAGCAAAGCGGCCTTAATTAAAAATTGGCTAGATTTAGTAACGTTTCCGCGAATTTATAACATGAAAAAAGACATAATATCAATCCTGTCATTTGTTGAGTGTCATTGTCGCTGGAATCTTTTCAAACATGTATCGCGCCTTTAAAAGTTCATTTTGGGGATGGTTTTCTCATGTTTTTCGGGAACTTACATATTGTTATTAGCAAATATTTCAATTAAAATCAATGAACTATTGTAACGATTGGGATAGATTACGAGGCTAGTTTGTCTTAACCATTACACCACGACTATCTCAAACTAGCTGTAAGTGGAATTCTGTCTTAAGGCAATTAAGGCATCGTGCCTTAAGGCAAATTGCTGAAACTTCCCGTACCAAAAATTATTTTTTTTTAAAAACGATTAACATTTTTGAAAAAAAAATTTACTTCGAAAAAATAAGATTTTTGAGAAACTATAAATTGGACAAAAAATTACTTTTTTTTGAAAAAAAATTTTTTTAAAAAAAAAAAAAATTTAAATTTCTTTTTTTTTTGAAAAAAAAAAATGTTTTCTTTATTTTGACATATTTTGGAAGATCTGACCTTTTTTCAAAGCAATCGTACTGCTTTAACTGCATAAAGACGAAATATCAAAGCGCGTAAGCGCCGCGTCGCCGTCTAACGCTTGAACATTGGTACGGAACCCATAGGAATGTAAACAAAATTCATACTTATTGTTAAAATCTCTATAAAATATCTGATAATTTGATGTGCATATGTCTAATGATCATTTTTGACCGCCAAATGGCATTTTTTTTACTTTTTTCATTAGATCTCCGAAACCGCTAGACCTGCCTCTATGAAAATTTGGTCAATTCTTCATCTTGTCAATACAAGTAAAATGTTTCTTGACTTATTCAAATTGGACACTCCGTTCTCTTAAAAACTGAGTTACCGTTTTCGGCACTTTTTGCCCCGTATCTTTGGAACGGCTAGACCTGTCTTTGCCAAAAACTAATCAGCACGTCTCCTTATCAATACGAATCGAATGTTTTTTGAATTATTCAAATCGGTTGATCCGTGTTCCCAAAATCGTCGACGAAAATTTGTATCCGCACATACATACACACACGCACATACATACATACATACACACACACACACACACACACACACATACATCCATTTTTCTAAGGTATGCCAAAATGTTCAGAAACCTCTGAAACGCAAAGATATATAAAAATTTTCATTTTCGATTTTTTTGCGATTACTATAACTATCCCTACGGGAAGTTAAAAAATGTTTTTTTCCCAAAATTGTTTCGTCAGAACAAGCAGAAAGTTTTTTTAATCATTCCAATCGGACGCTTAGTTCTCTCAAAAACTGCAATTTTTTACACATTTTTGCACAATATCTCCAAAACAACTAGACCTGGCTTTACCAAAAACTAATAACCACTTCTCCCAATCATTACAAATTGAATGTTTTTTAGATCTTTCAAATCCGATACTCCGTTCTCTCAAAAACTCGATTTGGATCTTCTGCACTCTTTGCTCCGTATCTCTGTAACGGCTGGACTTGCCTTTGCCAAAAACTAATCAACACATCTCCCTATCAATAGGAATCGAAAGGTAAATGAATCATTCGAATCGGTTGATCGGTGCGCCCGAAAACGTCGACAGAAAAATTTGTATCCACATAAACTCACACATCCATTTTTTCTGAGGTATATCAAAATGTTCAGAAACCTCTGAAACGCGAAGAAATGCAAAAAAAAAATATTCTTAATTTTCGGCCCATTACTATAACTTAAATTATACTATAGAACTATACTGAAGAGCAAATTAAATATCTCATTAATTTAAAAAAGATGAAACTTGTAATGAAACCAACAGAAATTCATCTTGAAATGTGAAATAGAACTCTACTGACGAGCAAATTTATTATTGACCCAAAATATGAAAAAGGACTGTACTGACGAGCACACGAATTAGCAGCTGAGAACATGAAAAAAATTTACTAAAAACCTTTAGTAGTAACCTGAAATATAAAAAAGGACTCTACTGACAAGCAAATTAAATATCAGACTAAAGTATCAAAAAAGGACTCTACTGACGAGTAAATTGATTACCAGACTAGAAAATAAATAAAGGACTCTACTGACGAGCAAATTTAATATTGACCCAAGATATAAAAAAGGACTCTACTGACGAGCAAATTAAATATCAGATAAGACGATAAAGAAATGGCTCTACTGACAAACAAAATAGTAGCATAGGAAATGCAAATGAGACTTTATTAACGAGCAAAGTAGATTTCTAGTAGAGGTAGAATTCTAGGTAGAGTAGATTTCTAGGTAGAAATTTTCTACCTATATGAAAAAGAAAACTCTACCGATGAACAAAATTAACTTTAAAAAAAGAACTCTGCTAACAATCAAATTAAATATAGACCCTGAAAGACAAATAGATGATTTTACTATCGAGCAAATTAAATATCAACACAATAGACTAAAAGAGGATTCGATGAGCAAACTGAAAATTGACCTAAAGTAATAAATAGGACTCTACTGACGAGTAAACAAAACTGCAAGCTTGGGTATAAAATAAAGAAGAACTGATGAGCAAACTCAAATTTTGCAAAAAAAAAATGACTTTATTCACAAATAAACAAAATCCCAACTTTAACAGAAAAATCAAATTCAGTATTGGCCTGAAATATAAAAAAGGACTTTACTGACGAGCAAATTAAATATCAGACTAAAAGGTAAACTAGCTGTAAGTGGAATTCTGTCTTAAGATTTTTGAGAAACTATAAATTGGACAAAAAATTACTTTTTTTTGAAAAAAAATTTTTTTAAAAAAAAAAAAAATTTAAATTTCTTTTTTTTTTGAAAAAAAAAATGTTTTCTTTATTTTGACATATTTTGGAAGATCTGACCTTTTTTCAAAGCAATCGTACTGCTTTAACTGCATAAAGACGAAATATCAAAGCGCGTAAGCGCCGCGTCGCCGTCTAACGCTTGAACATTGGTACGGAACCCATAGGAATGTAAACAAAATTCATACTTATTGTTAAAATCTCTATAAAATATCTGATAATTTGATGTGCATATGTCTAATGATCATTTTTGACCGCCAAATGGCATTTTTTTTTACTTTTTTCATTAGATCTCCGAAACCGCTAGACCTGCCTTTATGAAATTTGGTCAATTCTTCATCTTGTCAATACAAGTAAAATGTTTTTTGACTTATTCAAATTGGACACTCCGTTCTCTTAAAAACTGAGTTACCGTTTTCGGCACTTTTTGCCCCGTATCTTTGGAACGGCTAGACCTGTCTTTGCCAAAAACTAATCAGCACGTCTCCTTATCAATACGAATCGAATGTTTTTTGAATTATTCAAATCGGTTGATCCGTGTTCCCGAAATCGTCGACGAAAATTTGTATCCGCACATACATACACACACGCACATACATACATACATACACACACACACACACACACACACACACACACACACACACATACATCCATTTTTTCTAAGGTATGCCAAAATGTTCAGAAACCTCTGAAACGCAAAGATATATAAAAATTTTCATTTTCGATTTTTTTGCGATTACTATAACTATCCCTACGGGAAGTTAATAATAATGCATAATTATCTACTTTCCGTGGGGTAAGTTATAGAAATAGCGAAAAAATCGAAAATATTTTTTTTACATACCTTTACGTTACAAAAGTTTCTGAATATTTTGGCATACCTTAGGAAAAATTCATGTATGTGTGTGAGTGTGTGTGCGGATACACATTTTTTCGACTATTTTGAGAACACGTTTCAACCGATTTGAATAGTTAAAAAAAACATTCGATTCGCATTAATGGGGAGACGTGCTGATTAGTTTTTAGTAAAAAGTGATTCAGTTTTTTTAATTATTCAAAAAACATTTTTTGTATTGACGATACGAAAAACTGATTAACATTTTGGGAAGATAGGTCCAAAGTAAGTAATAGTGCATGGCATCGTGCCATACTTTCCGTACCGTAATAAAATGTTCGAGGAGTATTAAATGTTTTCAAATAGATTATTATAAATAAATACTGTAACATTGTCTAATAAAATAAGAATAATATAAACTGAATTGCAACGTTAAAAAAATTTATTTAAAGTATATAAGTGAGCTTCAGCAAGAAGTAAAATTGAAAAATAAGAGAACTTTAGCAAGAATTAAAATTAAAATCTGACTTATTTTCGATATACAAAAAAAAAAATCAAAAATTGTCAAATTGTTTTGTCAACACAAGCAGAAAGTTTTCTGAGTCATTTAAATCGGATGCTCCGTTCTCTCAAAATCTCGATTTCTATTTTCTGTATCTTTGCCTTGTATCTCCGTAACGGCTGGACCTGCCTTTGCCAAATATTATTCAGCACATCTATCAATATGAATCGAATGTTTTTTGAAGCATTCAAATCGGTTCATTCGTGCGTCCGAAAACGTGAAAGAAAAAATGCGGACATACAAAACACAATGTTCAATAAAATGTTCAGAAACCTTCAAAACATGAAGATAGGCAAAAAATTTTATTTTGAATTTTCGGCCAATTAACTATCCTACGGGAAGTTAAAAAAATGCCATTTCGGTCAAAAACGATAATTAGACATATCAACATTAAAAGATATTTAATAGAGATTTTAACTCTTTCGTTACTAGTGCTTAGTATGTATGTATTATGAACATATGAAACAGTATTATCTGAATTGGACCTAATAAAATATAGATATGAGAAAATTTCAAGGTAATGTTGTAATAGCAAAAACCAAAAACTACCACGTTTTTAGGCGCGGTGCACCGTTCAGTGTTGTCACTCCAGCGGAATGGATTGCCGTGAGGAAAGGGTTAATTTTTAACTTCCCGTAGGGCAAGTTATAGTAATCTCAAAAAAATCGAAAATTAAATTTTTATATATCTTTACGTTTCAAAACCTTCTGAACATTTTGGAATACCTTAGAAAAAAGGGATGTATGTGTGTGTGTGCGCGTATGTGTGTGTGTTCGGATATGAATTTTCGTTTTCGAGAACACAGATGAAGCGATTTAAATAATTCAAAAAACATTCGATTTGTATTGATAAGGAGACGTGCTGATTAGCTTTTGGCAAAGGCAGCTCTAGCCGTTCCGAAGATAAGGGGCAAAAAGTGTCAAAAACGGTAACTCAGTTTTTAAGAGAACGGAGCGTCCGATTTGAATAATTCAAAAACATTTTACTTGTATTAACAAGATGAAGAACTGATCAAATTTTCATGAAGGCAGGTCTAGCGGTTTCGGAGATCTAGTAAAAAAAAAAGTAAAAAAAATGCCATTTGGCGATCAAAAATGATCATTAGACATATGCACATCAAATTATCAGATATTTTATAGAGATTTTAACAATAGGTATGAATTTTGTTTACATTCCTATGGGTTCCGTATCAATGTTCATCCGTTAGACTGCGGCGCGGCGCTTACGCGTTTCGATATTTCGTCTCTATGTAGTTAAAGCAGTACGATTGCTTTGAAAAAAAGTTTAGATCTTGCAAAATATGTCAAAATAAAGAAAACATTTTTTTTCAAAAAAAAAAAATTAAAAAAAAAAAAAATTTTATAATAAAAAATAATAATTTTTGGTACGGGACGTTCCAGCAATTTGCCTTAAGGGACGATGCCTTAATTGCCTTAAGACACAATTCCACTTACAGCTAGTTTTACATTCCTATGGGTTCCGTACCAATGTTTATCCGATAGACGGCGGCGCGGCACTTACGCGCTTTGACATTTCGTCTCTATGCAATTAAAGCAGTACGATTGCTTTGAAAAAAAGTTCAGAAGTTCCAAAATATTTCAAAATAAATTTTTGTTCAAAAAGTTTTTTTTTTCAAAAAAAAGAAATTTGTTGTCAAAAATTTATAGTTTCTCAAAAATCTATTTTTTTAGAGTATTTTTTTTTTTAAATGTTAATTTAAAAAAAAAAAAAATTGGTACGGGAAGTTCCAGCAATTTGTCTTAAGGCACGATGCCTTGCGCCCTACTAGTTTTTTATTTAGTTACAACTGCAAAATAATATAACATCCAGTAACATAAGTGAAAAAGGGGGGTTAATAATAAGTACAAATTTTGTTGACATTTCTATGGGTTCCTTACTAATGTCTTTATTAGACATTAGACTAGATTGTGAAATTTTTCATAAAAGTGAAGTTTTTCAAAAATTTCAAAATTCTGAAAAATCGATTTTTTTAGTTATCAAAAAAATGTAAAGTTTCAGTTTTAAGCACGGAAACTTCCAGTAATTTGCCTTAAGGCACGATGCCATGCACCACTAGTATTGAAATATTAGTTCGTAGAGAAGTAATACCGTAGACTTGAATGAGACATATGAAATGACTGTCCGTCCGTCCGTCTGTCCATGCACAGGGCACACTGCACAGTACAGTAGCGCCGATTAGCGTGAACATTCGGTAGAGGGAGAAGAATAACAGAGTACCTCCGTCCTCCGTCGTCTCGCATGGCGAAGTTGATGTTCGCCAGTTCGCTTGATCGTTGATCGTTTCAGTTTGTTGTTTACTTTCGGTAGGGAAGGACGGTGTGCGGCGTGCGTTCGGTTGTCGAATTCGGTTTCGCACGTTTCTTGCATTTGCATGGACGAATTCATTTCATTTTGATCGTCGTTGTTACTGTGTTAATTATTAAAAAATTAGAAAAAAAATGATTGGTGTTTGTAAAAGTGAATAGTGAATATGATTTAAACGATAGTTCATAAATTGTGTATTTCAAATTGTTACAATGGTACATGGAATGACAGAGTTTGGTAAGTTTGGACAATTTTTAAAATATTTTGTTTATAATAATTTGTTGTATTGTACGATATTATATTAATATATAGAAATTATATATAATTAATCATTAATAATATTATTCTAAAAATAAGCATAATATATATACTTGATTGTATATATATTTGATTGATGACTCCTGGATTTTTTCATAAATTTATTTATTTTTGTCTTCCGAACATTCAATCCAAACTGATTCCAACTGACTTCGATAACTGTGTATGGCATCGTGCCTTAAGGCAAATTGCTGGAACTTCCCGTACCATAACGAAATGTTCGAGGAATATCGAATGTTTTCAAATAGATTATTTTAAATATTGTAACATAGTCTAATATTTATAAGAATTATATAAACTGAATTGCAAAGTTGAAATTATTTGTTTAAATTATATTAGTACTTTAGTTAGAATTAAAATTAAAATCTAAATTATTTTCGATATACAAAAAAAATAGTTTTGAAAAAATAATTGCAACAAAAATTTTATCCAAAAGCAATTATTTTGCTAAAAGAAGCAGAAAGTTCTTTGAATCATTCAAATCGGACGCTTAGTCTCTCAAAAACTGCCATTTTTTGCACATTTAGCTCTGTATCTCCGAAACCGCTGGACCTGCGTTGCCAAAAACTAATCACCACTTCTCCCCGTCATTACGCATTGAATGTTTTTTGAATCATTCAAATCCGATCTCTCAAAAACTCGATTTTTATTTTCTACATTTTTTGCTCCGTATCTCCAAAACGGCTGGATCTGCCTTTGCCAAAAATCAACCCATCAACTAATCAGCACATCTCTCTATCAATGGGAATCGAATGTTTTTAGAACCATTCAAATCGATTGATCCGTGCGCCCGAAAACGTGGACCAAAAATTGTATCACACACGTTCCTTTTTTGACACACACACGTCCCTTTTTTCTGAGGTATGCCAAAATGTTCAGAAACCTTCAAAACGTGTAGAAATGTAAAAATTTTCAATTTCGATTTTTGGACGATTATAATAACTTACCCTACGGGAAGTTAAAAAAAACTTACTGCCTCCAGCAGAAATAATATTGGAATGAACAGTTATTATGTGCGTTTTCATTAAACAATTTTTTATGCACCATTTTTTTGTATTTTTCTGGGTTTGACTGCTGAATCATGACACAAATTGAGTGTCGAAACGTATAATAAAGAATTGTTTCTATATTAACTTTTTCTCAATTCGACGAATAAGCTGCAATTTATTAACTTCCTTTAATGTTTTCATCAAAAAATTCGATTCGCTAATTTTGTTTTCTCGACGTTTCAAGCCATTCTGAATCGATTGAGACCAAATTTGGAAAAAGTATGTGTGCGTGCGCGCGCGTGTATGTGTGTGTGTATGTGTGTGTGTGTGAACAGATTTTTTCTAATATGTTTCAACGTCGACAAAACTATATATATATATATATATATATATATATATATAACTAATGACTAACTTGTATAATAAATTAAATCTCTTAATTTTACATTCTTACTTTGAACAAGTTTTTCATCCCCAGGAGTCCTTTTTTACCACGCAGGTAAATAAAAAACTTACAACTATTTTCTAAACCGAAAAAAAATATATATTAAACCTAAATGATCGTTTTTCTATCTTTAAATTATTCATTTAATTAAATATTTGATCTTTAGTTAAAAATTCTTTTTAAATAGAAAATATGAAGATACTCAATTTAATGGAATATTTTATGTGCCAAAAACATCATTTAAACATCGCCTTTATATCACCCTACATCACTTATAAATGCAATTTGCGCAACCTTTTCGCAAAATCCCTATTTCTATCATCAGAACACATATTTTAGTTTCTACTTAATATTATAGATAATATGGCACTAATAACCTCTAAGTGGCCGTAACTTGATTTTCTTCATCAGCAAAACTTGAGAACCAGGCTATAATTGAAAATATGTGCCCAGAAGGGAATCTTTTGACATAAAAAAAACATTGAAGAAACGAAACCCAAACATCCGCTGAAATATGAAACTACTGTGCTCTAATTTCCAATTCTGTATAAAAATTTAAACGTATTTATGAAAATATTTTGTTCGTGGTAAACATTTGATGATCGTAGCTGTAATATGAATATTAGGTATTGTTATTTCATTTAAAATTTCTGTAGTCTTCACGACTGAAATGCAATAATTTGTTGTTTTTTTTCGTTTTTGAGAAAACGGTTTTAATAATTCAAGAAACATTTTACTTGTATAGACAAAATGAAGAACTGATGAAAGTTTTAGGGAGGCAGGTCGAGCGATTTCGGATATCGAGTGTAAATCGAAAAAAAGTATGCTTTTGGTGGTGAAAATGATCATCAGACATATGCACATCAAATTATCAGATATTTTATAGATATTTTAAAAATAAGTATAATTAATATCACTTACATTTCTACGGGGACGCTGCACGATTGCTTTGAAAAAAAAAAAGTTCTCATCTCATTTTTGTCAGTTTTTTTTTTAAATTTTAATTTTCTCGGTGCGAAAAGTTTCTGCAATTTGCCTTAAGGCACGATGCCATGCATGACTAGTTGTTTTTTAATTTGATGTTAAAGAAGAAATCGGCAGACATGTAAAAAATACGTATGTAAAAAAGAGAAGTTCAAAATGTGGTAACCATTTCATGTTTTGATTATAAATTTTTGTTGTTGTGTTTGTCAAATGTTTACAGTTCGTTCATTGAAACCGAAACACGGCACCAATATTGTTTATCTTAGTATTATTTTCTTCATATCTATTACCATTTGCTTTCCCGTGGATTAGTGGTTAGAATTATGTGCTCTCAATCAGAGGTAACAGGTTTGATACCCGACTCGGACAGCCTGATGTCAAGCAGTAGTGACATTTTAATGGTTTTCACTTGGAAGTATATAACATATGTTTTCAAGTGTAAATATTCTTTACCCAGGATTGCTGCAGCCAATAAAGAGTTATAGTACTTTTTCTAATATTAAATTCATCATAAAGAGATAGGCCAACTGTTGTGTTGCTATTTAAAGTCACGTCATTAAAAAGTCATCACAACAAGCTTTTGGTACTAAGGTTTTGATAATATATAAAATCTATTATTATTAATTAATATTATATTATTATATTATTATTAATAATATATAAAATCTATTATTATCAGTTTTTTTTATTTATATGGTATTTTGTTTATTTACCTTCATTTACTTTTTTAACTTTCCGTAGGGTAAGATTTAGTAATGGGCCGCAAATTGAAAATGAAAATTTTTGCATATCTTCACGTTTCAGTGGTTTTTGAACATTTTGACATACCCCCAAAAAAATCGATGTGTGCTTTGTGTTTTGTGTGTCATAATTTTTTCGCTCAAGTTTTCGGGCGCAGGGATCAACCGATTTGAATGGTTCAAAAAACATTCGATTCCTATTGATAGGGAGATGTGATGATTAGTTTTTGGCAAAGGCAGGACCAGCCATTTTAAAGATACAATGCTAAATGTACAAAAAATGGCAGTTTTTGAGAGAACTAAGCATCTGGTTTGAATGATTCAAAAAACTTTCTGCTTGTGTTGACAAAACAATTGCTTTTGGAAAAAAACTTATTTTATTTTTTTTTAATTTTTTGACAAAACGATTGCTTTTGGAAAAAAATTATTTTTATATATATATTTTTTTGTATATTGAAAAAAATATTTTCAGATTTTAATTTGAATTCTGGCTAAAGTTCTAAAGCTCACTTATATACTTTAAATAAATAATTTTAACTTTGTAATTTAGTTTATATAATTCTTATAAATAGTCTTACAACAGTATTTTATCAATCTAATTTATTTGAAAACATTTAATATTTCTTGAACATTGCGTTCCGGTACGGGAAGTTTCAGCAATTTGCCTTAAGGCACAATGCCATACACCACTAGTTATTGGCAAGTCGTGAATTCTTTGTTCTATTTTTTATAATATTAAAAAATCGCTGAACACAAACACAATAAACCGTACAACGAAATACGTTTAATTGAAACTGTTATGGTTCAAGACATATATGCCAAAATAACAACAAAAAATTAATAATAGAATGTACATTTGTCCGCGAAACATGTAACGGTCATCATTTTTTTTCTTGAACACACCTCGTAGAGGAAACTAGTTTAGACATCTTAGAAGACTTCGATATTTATGATTGCAAAATGCTATTGAACAAAAATTGAAAAGAAAATGATTTTCATTACACTTGCAATGACTTTCTGTTTTACTAAATTTTAGTTCACTAAAAGAGTATATATATATACGAGTATATATATATATATATATATATATATATATATAAATATTTATTATCTAACATCCGAATGTATCTTTTTTATATTTATTACACACTACCATAAAAAGTCAAAAGTTTCTCATCATTTGTACCCTTTTTTATCAAACATTATACCTGAATTCTACGTTTTAGAGGTTTTTATGCGCCTAAATGTTTAACATCTGTTGATATCTAACTAGACTGGTCATTGCCTAAAATATACAATGTTACCCTTCGAATTTAATAGATTAGGAAGTTTAATCGAATTTTTAAGAGCTTTCTGAGAATAGCTGTTCTTATCAAAAAAAAGTTATCATCTGTAAGACAAACTCACTAGTCAAAGAGATTAGGAAGTCAATAATTTAGAGAAAATCTTTTAAAAAAAACTTAAAATATATAACAACTTTCTTTTATAAATTTAATACTAGGATTCTTGGATGTTTAAATCTTAAAAAAAACTTTATTGCAAATTTTGTAATGGTTTAACATTACAAAATTTGCAATAAAGTTTTGGTTTTTCGCCACGTAATTATAGAATTTATTATTTAAAAGCTCTCCTTTGTTAACTCAGGTTGTTGGGTTATAATTTAATCCTTGTAGCTGTGGACTGTATTAAACTATCATTTGTTTGTATATTATGTATTTGTTGCAGTTCTTATTACAATCACTGATTTGTCACTAAGTTATA